GTAAATAAAATCCATGTTTCTGAAATCCAGTGATCTGCACTCCCTCAGTGCAGACTCTGACCCACTGCAGGAAACATCTCTCAGCAACACCCTTCCAGAACCTTCTCCAAAGTGAGCTCTTATAGGTGCTAATACAGCAGTCCCACAGCCCAGCTGTCTACACACCACTGATGCATCATCAAGGTCCCAGTCATACTGGGCTATAGTCCCCCACTCTCCCCAGCGATACACCTCCACTCTCCCAGAACAAGGACTGCTTCCATTCACCAGCCTCAGGTCCTCAGGCCCTGTTAGGACACAGCCGAGCTGCTAAGACACTTCAGAAGGATCATTGTTCTAATGTTAATGTATTAATAATACTGCTGGTTACCTGTACAGATCAATCTGATATTGCTGTTCTTTTCACAGTTCTGTTCTGATTTTGCTGATGTGAAACATTCATGTAGAAACAACTCCTCTCCATCACAGTGGAAGCCTTTAGACCAGATGGGACCTTCTCCTTGATCAGACTGGGCCCCCTTGTGTAGAGCTGAAGGAGCCCCACAGTCTAGCTCCCTACAGACAACCTCAGCATCCTGCCAGTCAAAGTTACCATCACACACTGTGGCCCAGGACTGACTGAACTTCACCTCCAGCCACCCAGAGCAGCGATCAGCTCCACCCACAAGACTCACATGATCTGCAATCAGATAATTAAGACTGAAACTCTAAAGAAATAATTTTACAAAATTATTATTAAAATTATTAACAATGAGATTAGCATGTAATGTCATATATTTTAAATACGTATGAAATCTGACACCAAAATTTACAATTAAATTATATGGATATAAGAAGAACCTTTCCTTTTAATAGAACCCCGTTAAATGTAGATGTCAAACCTGAGCAGATGACTGCAGCATCCAGTGTGTGCGGTAAGTCATGCTCTCTGCCATCCAGTGATCCACACTCCCTCAGCGCAGACTCTGACCCACTGCAGGAAACATCACCTAGAACCATCCGCCCAGAACCTTCTCCAAAGTGAGCTGCACCTGGTACAGATACAGCAGAGCCACAGCCCAGCTGTCTACACACCACCGCGGCATCATTCATGTCCCAGTTACGCTGATAAACGGTCCCCCACTCGCCCCAGCGAAACACCTCCACTCTCCCAGAACAAGGGCTGCTTCCATTCACCAGCCTCACATCAGCAGGCTCTGTGGAGACACAGGAGATAGTTATGTCCTATATTACTGGCTAATAACATTTAATTCCATAAACAGAGAAAAGAACAATGATGATATACCATATTTAATTTAAAAAAAGCTAAATTGAACCATTAGAATGGGCAATGACAATATGTCATATTTCATTTTTTTTTTTATAATTAATTGATTAACCAATAATAACTGATCCTGGACAGGTATTTATGGCCCTGTATATATAATTCAAATGCACCGGTATATTACCTGAACATTTCAGTGTTACAGTATGATTTGTACAGTTCTGTTCTGGTCTCATTGCAGTGACACATTCATGGAGGAAGGACTCCTGTCCTTCACAGTGGAAGTCTTTAGACCATATGGTACCTTCTCCTTCACCAAAATGGGCCCCCTTGTGTAGAGCTGAAGGAGCCCCACAGTCCAGCTCCCTACAGACAACCTCAGCATCCTGCCAGTCAAAGTTATCATCACATACTATAGCCCAGGTATCTCCATCTTTAATCTCCACTCTCCCAGAGCACTTCTGAGGTCCCCCCATAAGCTGGACCATGGAGTAACCTACCAAGGAAGAACCCATATATGTTTAGTTTATTTATTCAAATCATGGCATGAATATAAATTGGTTTCTTAAAGTGTGACACGTAAGAAAAGGGGTTCAATTATAATGATCTGAAGCGCACAGTCTGAGGCGCATGGTCCAGTTGCATTGGACAACCCGCTCTTGCTAGTTTAATGGTGGAAAATTGTCCCTGTGTCATACGCATGGTCCAAAAGGGAGGTACTTAGTCTTGTAATTACTCAAGGGTTTGTTTGGGGGGTTACATGCTATAACCAATCAAAGTGTCATCTGTCATTAGTGCACTTGCACCTTGGTGGATTGGTATTATAACTGCGGATTTGCCAGGTAGTAGAAAGACGTGCTTCTCTGCAGAGGAAACTGATCTGCTCATGAGTGAAATGTAAGGGCACAAGCAGATCATCTACAGCAACAGCAGAATTTCACCTAAGCAGAGGTCTGCAATCCTATGGACCCATGGCAATAGAGTGACTCATGGGATCCCCCAAAAAGAATTTAGAAGTATTTCTCACATGTGTTGTTTGTTATATTTTGTTTGTATGATTAATGTTCCTGAGTGAACATAAAGTTAAATTAAAAGTTTCATCAAATACAAGCAAAATAAGGCTACTCTGCCAAATTTGGTTTTTACACAGCCAGCCTATCCTGCAACTTTTGGAACAACGTTAGTGTTTTGAAACTTCACCACATTTTCCGTTTGACACGCCCATGGGCCTCAGATGGGTACAGGTCGTTTGCTTTGCTATTTAAACAATGTGGGCTCTGACTGGGAAAAAGCCAACTGCATCAGGCTCATGCTTGCAAAGACACTTACATCACACCTAGTTGTGCTTTGCCTGGGTGTAATTTATATGGTTGTTTCATTTATGCCTTTAAAATTTCTCCTAGTACTGATTGAGCAAAGTGTTTTATTAAAAACTTTATGCAAGTATTACATTTGTAACAATGGTTTCTTACCTGTACAGGTCACTCCAGCATCAAGTATATGAGGATGTCGAATAAATTTTGAAATAGGAGCGGCCTCTTGAGAAGGACACAGAGACAGTTTTGGCTCTGATCCATTGCAGGAAACCAGAGAAATTAGTTCCATCCCAGAACCTTCTCCAAAGTGAGCTCTACCAGGAGTGGCAACAGCAGACCCACAGCCCAGCTCTCTACACACCACTGTAGCGTCATTCATGTCCCAACCAAACTGCATTATTGTTCCCCACTGTCCTCCACGATTCACCTCTACTGTCCCAGCACAGGGACTCCCTCCCTTCACCAGTCGCACCTCATCATGTCCTGTAGGTAGAAATATCAGTCATTGGGTATTTTATCCTCACAGACTCTAGTGCTCTGCATTCAGACAGTCAGGGACACACAACAGGTAGAATGGAGAACCATTCACTTTCAAAAAAAAAGTATTCAAGTACAGTCATACCTCGGCTCACAAGCTTATTTCGGTTGAGTTCGCGACCTGAATCATTTTCCCATTTGAAATAATGTAAATACAAATAATTTGTTCAAACCTCAGAAACACTGTTTTTTTTCATTTTTTATGATTTTCTGTGACCAACAATATAGACTTTAATTAAAATAACCTTAAAGAGCAAAAAAAGGAAAGAGAAAACATACGTTTATGAAAGGCGGTCCAATACACAACTGAGCATGCGCTTGTTGGCAAGCTGGTTACTTGAAAGACGCCAAAACACGGAAAAGAACCACAAAACATCCTCCCAAAAAGCTAAACAATTAACATTAAAAGACTGAGTAGCAGTAAAAAACAATACAGTAATTTCAAAAATGTGATTTTTAAATTATACTGTACATTATTTTCATATGGATACATTTTTTTTGTACATTTCGTGATGCCACGCGTTGTATGGCAATGAACTTCTTTGTTTGTACTGTAAACAAACAACACGCAGTTGCCACTATGTGTGAATGGAGAGTATAACACTTAAATCGGAGTTACTTAATAATTTATGTTATTAATGAAATACTGTAATTTTATGTATGTATGTATACCACTATAACAGAACGTTCTCTTTCTATTTTTTTCTTTTGTTAGATATTCGACCTCTGAAGAGATATAGTAAAGACATACATATACAACAAGTTTTTTATATATTTTTATATATTTTAGTGAAATTCTTGGACATAATGTACACTTCTTTGTGTTTTGGGTGGTTCTTTGAGGCGTTTTTTTTCCCCAGCCTGAAACACGGTTCGCGAACCAGTACAAAAAATGTGCAGGTCTACAGGAACTACAGGAAACATCTGACCTAAATAATAGGCTAAACGTCTGACCTCTGTAATTGTAAACAAAGGTTTCTGTACCAAATATTAAGTTCTATTTTTCTATTGTATCAAATACTTATTTCATGCAATAAAATGCAAATTAATTATTGTAAAATCATACAATGTGATTTTCTGGATTTTTTTTTAGATTCTGTCTCTCACAGTTGAGGTGTACCAACGTTGAAAATCACAGATCTCTCCATTCTTTGAAAGTGGGAAAACTTGAAAAATTGGCAGTGGATCAAATACTTATTTTCCCCACTGTAATAGTGATGCCACATTACAGTATATTTTGGTCAATATTAACTTGATATTTAGTTTTAACACTTCTCTACAGGAAGTCACCATTTAATGAGGACAAATCAGTGTGGAGACACTGACTTTCACTCTGAGCTCAAACAGGAACAACGACTAATAAAAAGATGTTACTGAAAACTTCTCCATATATAACAAGTACACACCACTGATTCTTCCGCAGACATCTCATGCAATTTGAATGCACAGCCCATTAGAAGTAAAAGAGATGAAATAGCAAAGACGTAACTAAGATACTGGCAGAAAAGGAATTATAATATAAATTACAAAAGATTTACACTCAGATGCTCAGTGGAATTACTGAATGTTAGAAATACGAATGTTTAATAAGAGAGCAGACACAGACGTTGAATTGCAGACTCAATCAAAATGGAACATTTTTATATGCTTTACAAACACCTCAGACACTAAACACAAACTGCCATCACAAAGCTATGACAAAATAGATACAAAGCTCCATAGTCCACCTGGAGTAACACTTTCTATGAATGCCATGCCTATAACAATCTATAATCAAACTAATAATACATCATAATGCATTCATATAGCATTATTAATGTAACTAAAATATTTATAAAAAAGGTATAAGGCATAACAGTGTTGATTATAATACTTCATAAGCTCATGTGAAGCTCTTATCTATAATGCAATAATGATACCTTCATAATGCATTATAATGATCTGCATAAAAATTAAGGATGCTTTGTACTGCATTATAAAGGTATTTATAATGCAGTAATGATGAGAGCTTTTATCCAAGCTTTTTAAGTATTCAACGTTATAATTCCTTATGCCTTTTTAGAAATATTTCTAGCCATATTTATAATATCTTATAAATGAATTATAATGTGTTATGAATGTTTTCACAGATTCTTATAGGTATGGTATTCATAGAATATGCTACCAAAAACAACGTCGCACTATTAACTGGCTACTAGCAAAAATCCTTCAGTTTCACCCCTGCCTACATTCATCTAAGGCTGTAAGAACAGTCATTAAAATCATAGAAAATTAAACCAGGACTAAAGATAAGCAAGTTGATGGATATTCGATAACTCTGTTGTTCATTCAAATCAAACTGGACTAAACTTATAGTCCATGTTACATATCTATTTTTAAAAAGAAAGAATAAAACACAGACTGACACTTTATGTTCTGCATTAGAAAATACAGATAAACTAAATTATTTCTCTTTTTGACTATGGCCAAACTGCAGAAATCTAACATTCAGCTTTTTAATAAGAAAGTATACATAAAAATGAGAAATGTCTGAATGATGACAGTCTAAATGAAGTGTACCTCCATAGAAAAGTGATTTATATGGCCTATCATAGACTATAAAGACCTAATTTGACTGTTAATCAGCAACCACTAATTTTGACCAGAAAATCTTTGGACTCCTACCTGCTGAGAAGAGCAGAGGCAGCACAGAAAGGAAGACTAGGAGTAGGAAGCTCCTCATGTTTATCAGGGCAGATCAACCTACTCCTGTGTGATGTGGAGATGCCAACCTTCACCCTGAGCTCCCTGAGCTCTGACAGCTTCTGCTGAAGGTTTCAGCACCAAGTGAAGGCTCAGCCCCAACCAGCCTGAAGCACACCAATCACACTCAGCTTTGCCTTATTAGACTATGGGCAGGAAACTCTAACGGTTCAAACAAAAATAATGACAAATCAGAAGATACTGCTGTAGATATCTCCATATATACTGAGAATGTGTTTACTTCCACTCCTACAACCTGAAGACGTGACCAGATACTGATAAAACACAAAGAGAGGAAAAGACAGAGAAATGGCTGTAAGGTTAAATATAAATTACACAGAATCAGATACATAATGATTTATATGGAGCCAAAAATGAAAATGCTTTTACATTTGCATGCGCATCAGAATTTCACATGCACACACGAAAGCAAGTTGTGTGCACGCGAAATTATCTCATGCGCACGAGAAAGTAAGAGCATTTTAATTTTTTGCACAGGTCTCTTAAGGGGCTCCATAGATTTACGTACCTGATGATTCCTAATGATCTTGCACGTTTAACATATTTTAAAAATCCAGTTTAATTGTTCACAAAATATTTCTGCTGACTTCAAACAACAAAATGGTGCTTCTCAATTTGCCCTGTTCTTATTCATAGGATTGACGCATACTGATTATTAGATTAGTCAAAGTCAGAATGTTACAGACTCAGAATCCTCTTCTTTTTAAGATATTTATTGAACCCTTCAATGATATATGAAGGTAATGACAGTTCAAAGTCAGGCTAGACAGCTCCCTCCAGTGGTCTGGGGAAGCATCCATAAAGATTTGGTCCAGTGGACCCACCCATATTCTGCCTGCTAGCCCTGGACAGAGTCATGGAGGGTCTGCAGCCTATCCCAGCCAGTATGGAGCACAATGCAGGGGAACAAATTTTACGGGATGCCAACCCACCACAGGGCATACAAATGCACACACACTAACATTCACACTGGCCCAAAATTGTACCATAGATATTTTCACCCCTCCATCTATTCATTCATCTTCTATAGGGTCATGGTGAGTTAGAGCTAATCTAAGGAAACACTGGGCAAATGGCAGCTTACACACTGGTAATTAGCACGAGGAGCTGAATCAGGGTAAATGAGGGTAAACCAAAAACTGTGCAGGGCTCTGGCCCTCCAGGACTACAGCTTGACACCCCTGCTCTGGAGGCTGTGGCCACCTTTCAGGTAGTCTGACATGCCTTGACATTGTTATATATTTCACCAATCTAAAAAACACATATTCCAAAGTGCTGCATATGGTTTTATTTAGCACAAATTCAGCACCAATAATCTGACACCATTTCAAATGTCTATTTTTTGTTTAAATCAATTGTAAGCACACCTTTTCCAAAAACCTGTTTTCATAGCTGCTGAGACATCGCAAAACAATGCATTAATAAAATTATCATGTCTTTGGACCCTGGGAGAGGAAAGAGGATACCCAGAATAAACCATCACAAACAGGGACACACAACGACCTGGGCCGGGAATCAACCCCACAGCCCTGGAAGTGTGAGACCACAAACCTACAAGCTACATATTGCTACAAATGAAAGCATTTGCTAAGCAAAAATAATAGTGTAACAACATGACAGACATTCCATGTTGCCTGAGCACATTTACTCTGTAAATGATGTGACTCTGTCTATGTGAAGGTGGCATTTACAGCATCTCAGTGGACAGAGCAGAACCTGTCACTGCAGAGGAGCAGGTCATGCTCTCACTGTGGCTTCTGAGCAGATGAACCACCCACCATGCTGTGCATTCTCCTCTGATCTCTGCAGCTTCTCCTCTCTCTCTCACTTTCCTGTGCATCATAGAGCTAAGGGTCGTCTTTCCTCCCCACGCCTCCACTCTGTGCTTCCTCCCCTTAAGTCTGCGGTCTTACGCTGCCTAACGGCACCATGTACATTCTCTCAGCTACCAGGGGCTACCATCCACTATCTCTCGCTTCCATCTCTTAGCTCTCTGTAGTGCAATGTCTCTTTGCTTGTTACAATTTCTCTGCATTTTTGAGAGATACACATGTGGTGAGCAAGTCTATAATTCTTAGCGCTTCAAAAGTGAAGATTTATTTCATGTAAAAGTTTATCTGAAACTTAAGTAAAAATAATGGCTACTCAGCGCAGGAACAATTTATACCCCTGCTTCCTCCACAGTATAGCCTGGATCTATGCATGTTAGCTGAAGTTGTCCATCACTGATTTCATGCACACTCATTTTGAACAACATTACCTCTACAAGAAGTTAAAGCTGATTTTATTGCAGCACCTCTTCAGAAGTAGATTTTAGCATGCTTTACAGTGACAGGAAACATATGAAGTTTGCCGCGTTATTAGAAAGTTCCTCCTAAGTAATTAAACACTGCTCTGGCTGGCCTTTTATTCTGTATTTGTAAACAGAGTCTGATGGATTTTATTATGAAAATAACAAACTACAATCCATATATTTGCTGTTTGTGTACTGGACACATCAGCCTGTCATCGCTAAGCAGTGACACTGAAAACTTCCTGAGTCCTGACTGTGAATGACAGACTTTCTCGCCCACTGTCCTCTCCTGCTTTCTGCAGTACCGCATGTGACGATTTCCCCCTTTCATCTTCAGGTATCTGCCTTTAAAATATATCTGTGGTGAGCTATGTGCTAAATATGCTGTAAATCCCTTTAAAAGCAACATGGGTGCTTAAAAACCTTAATAAGTCATGCTACAACATTAGCTATCAATGTATATTTAAAGAACATTGGTGTGTAAAATATATAACATATTTTACACTCATTAACAGCCAGAGATACCAAACGCATGCACAGGAATAACACACCACACTTAAAACAGCAATTGGGTAAAAAAAAAATACTGCTAATGTGAAGCAAAAGTAATTACAAACTGGCTACAAATATACATATATCACCAGATCCTTTGATATTGTTTCAAAAGTCCACTCAAGTGTTCTATTGTACAAATGGACGATTCAATGTCCTCACCACCTCTGCGATAAAGATGTTCTTACTGCACTGTGAAATGGGATAGGGCATGTAAATTGTTAAATCCAAATGAGGATTTTACATGTTCTGCGGCCAGGACGGAATCCGCATCGTGCCTCCTGAATCCGACAAAACCCGCGATGCATCGATCTGCCCGGTGTTACAATACGAAAAGAAAGCCAAATGAAGTGAAAGTAAGCCTCGCTAAATGAGTCCCCCTGCTGGCGCAATCGCGTCATGGCATTCAGCTGCACATCATTTAAGGTGGGCTGGAAAATCTGAATAAGTAGCTGCAAATAAGGAACCAACTTCAGCCTCATTGAATTTAGCTTGTTTTGAATGGGGGTGCAGTGAAAAATATTGGGGGGCATATTGTCAAAAAAAATTATCCATCCATCCATCTCCTACTGCTTTTCCGGGTCGGGTCGCGGGGGCAGCAGTCTAAGCAGGGAAACCCAGACTTCCCTCTGCCCAGCCACTTCCTCCAGCTCCTCCGGAGGAATCCCAAGGCGTTCCCAGGCCAGCCGAGAAACATAGTCTCTCCAGCGTGTCCTGCGTTTTCAAAAAAATTTACAAAAAAACTAATTATATATATTTCTCCAATTGGTTATAGTGTTACTAGTATGTTTTAAATAAATGTCATTTTTAGATTTTATTTGGTTCTTTCATTGGGTTAAATTAATGTATTCACTTTAGACCACTGTTTTTGAAACTGCAAAATGTTTTAAAAAGGTATGTTTTTATTAATTATAAAATCATATACATTTAGCTTGATAGCGTAATCGACACGTTAGATTATTAATGTACATTTACATTAATACATTGTATTTATTATAAATGTATATTTAGCTTGGTTGCAACCTATTTGGTTAACATGCAGGATTATAATAATTTTTACCTTAAGTCGATATTAGGGATTTTGCTTTACCAATATATGCATTTAATTGCAGACCTAGGCCTATTTATGAATGAACTTTTATATTTATGAATATAAAAGTTTATGAATTTATGAATTTCCCCACGGGGATTAATAAAGTGTAAATTATTATTATTATTATTATTATTATTTATATTACATGTAATCAGGACATGCCTTTTTAAAAGCTTTCGTAATCGTAGTTTATTTTATTGATAAAAATGCTTGCTGGCACTATCATGCTAAATATAGGCTACATCAATCTAATAAAACGTTGTTACATTAAGCTAAATGTAAACGCTTTTAAAATAATTAATAAAAACACACCTTTTTAAAACATTCGTTGTGTAGGCCTATTTTATTAATGCTTGCTGCTGCTATTGAGCTAAATATACTTTGATAGTATAACCACCATATTATAATAAATTATCAAGCTACGTGTAACTGAGGAGGAAGGGTAGGAGAGTGGAAGTGAGTGTAGGAACTTTGAATGTATGCTGTGTGTGCAGGTGCAAATATGGTGTATACTGGAAAAGCATCATAAAATGTACTGGAGCCCTTGCTGCTGGAAAAGAGGCTTCGTTGTGGTCGGCCTCGGAGAAGTTCCTGGGTGATGTGTTTCTGTTTTTGGGGCGTGGGATTTTTTTTTTTTCCTGATTATCTCTTGCGCTATTCTCCACTCCAGTAGGTGGCGATAATGCACCTTTACGCTTTTTTTCAACGCCAATAATCGCTACATGACGAAATATCCAGAAGAAGAAATGTGGTGTCGTGTACGCATGCGCAAGACTGGTGCACATGCGTGTTGCAAATCGGTCATGAGGAGGGTAGTGACACAGTCGCGAACTTAACAGCGAGTAACAAGTTGTGTGAGGTAATTTGTCACATTTTTTGAATCACACTTTTAAGTTTTGTTTCACGAGCAACATTAGGCTTTATAGTAACTCATAATAGAGGCGTGCGCTTTAAAATTAATTTTTTGTTCGCAGATATTCGAGCTAGGCGAGTAGTTATGGCAGACCATAATTACACCCCAGCCATTCTGAGGTAATTTATCAAGTATGTCTCTTCAGTATCTGTTTTATGAGCAGCAGCGAACTTTATTTAATAGTATTATAATAGGCACTATCTCTGATATTCAGCTATATATCTTCTAGGCTTCCAGTCTCAAACACTAGATATACCTGTACCGAAGTCGGAGCTAACGTCTGTGCAAGGCGCAGGTAGGCGATTTTATAAGTTTATCGTGCCCCATATATTAAATATATCGTAACTCCAGTTAACAGGCTTACCGTGCGTAACACCCTTGTTGACCTTCATTTACTGCATTATGTTTATTTCTATAGGGGAGAGTGCTCAGGTTCCGCGACTAACTTGGATGGTTATGTTCATTTAAAGGTAATATTAATACGGATAGTACCGATTCCTTACAGTTATAGTCTACTGATTAACTTTTATACCAGAGGTGGCTAGTCCATAGACGTAGAGGTGGTAGTATCTCTATATTTTTTAGATTAAATTATGAAACAAGTATATCTGAAATAACTCCGTTGTTATCTGGCTTAATTTCTTTAATATTTGTCTTTCATTTACCCTGTTTTTATATTGTTCTCTCTTAATAATGTTATAATGTATCAATAATATTTAAGTAATTCAACTTATTTTTATAAAGTGCTCTTGTGAAAGGCACTATATAAAAATAAAAAAATAACCCCAGTTTCTCTCTTCTTTGGAAACATATTTTCTTATCTCTTCAGCTTTTCTTATCCACCATTCTCTACTGGTTAATATAATGTATAAAGTTACAAGCATCAGTCAGCTATTTCTTTCAACATCAAGGTACTATTTTTTGCTATAGTCAGTTTTTGTCATTTAACGTTGAAAGTGTTATCTGTGTGCTGTCAGGTGTAACTTGAACGCTGTTACTTTGCAGTGAGATCAAATGAACATAACTACTTTGTTAATAGCTAAGCTACATATTAAGATAGAACCGGAAACTTCATGATCATTTTATCAGTTTTCACTGATGGGTTTTTCTATAGCAGTGGGTCTCAGTATTTTTTTTGTCCCCCCCCCCCCCCAACATCATTTTTTTCCCCATCACATACCCCCTACACACCTTTATTTTATTTAGATAGATAAACCTACATGGGAACCAGAATGTAGAACCTGCAAAAAATAAAAAATAAAACTGTGCAGGAAACCTATCATAACACGCGTGTATAAAAAACAATAATGACCTACAATATTCCGGTGGGATATCTGGCCTTGTAATCCACTGGTTATTCTGGACAGTCTGGATGGTAGGGAGGCAGCACTGTGTTAGGTGGCATTTGTGATTATGTGGTAACTACCGTTTCAGTCTGAATATTAGATGACCCTGATTATAAAAAAAAAAAGTTTTTGGAACACCAAATTCAATTTATATATATATCTATATCTTTTATATTTATATAAAGATATATATATAGATATAAAGATATATATATATAGATATAAAGATATATTCACACACCGGTGTGTGAATGTGAGTGTGGATGGTGAATGTGAGTGTGGATGGGTGAATTTGAGGCATGTATTGTAAAGCGCTTTGAGTACTCGTAGGAGTAGAAAAGCGCTATATAAATGCAGTCCATTTACCATATCTTCGTTAACACTTGGTGTAATGCTAGCAATTTACACAACACTCAGTTACACACTAACAAACATATTTCATGTTTACTATCACTCTTATCAGAAATTCAAAAATACATATATTAAGTTACAGTTTTCAAAGTGCGGTGCAAAGCATGCGGGTAACAGCACAATTATTCCTGCTGACTAGGGCTGTCGCGATCATGTTGCGATGTAATCGTGATTATATGGCGTGTGCGGTAACCACCAGGGCTTTAGATGACGGGTGAAAGATTTGTCTGGATGCCGGCTTTTCAGTACTTTACGGACATTTACTTAAGCCCACATTTTGGTAAGCAGATCAGTAGTGTGCCTAAGATATTGAGATGCATATTGTGATGCCCAAAAGTCAGGAGTCCGTTTAAATTCAGTGTATCTTTATGTTCATTAAATTCAGTTAGCGGGGGATGCCACATGCTATTGTTTTAGTAAATCGTAAGCAATAAGCACTGAAGTAGCACTGAAGAAAAGAACAACTCAAGAGTAGTGCTGTCAAATGATTAAAATTTTTAATCAGATTAATCACAGGGTTCCTGTGGATTAATTTTGATTAATCATGATTAAATATCATTAATTTTTAATCTATATTAATCACATTTAATTTTGCATGAGCAAACACACTCAAGAAAAAAGGGAATATATATGCACTTAACATGTTTATTGAACATCTTAAACATGAGTCGGATGCATTCCATCTACCACAGAAGTGCAATACCATGGACCCATATCAAAAAGATTTTTTGCTTTACCGGACAACTTGTTGGATTTAAGGTACTTCAGTTTAAATGGTGTTTATCTTCGTTCGCTTACAATTAGCACGAACTACCGTAAATCCGACAAATAATCCAACTAATCATGAAGTCCAATTCTAGCCTGGTTAATTGCCATTGTTAGCAATATCAGTTGATAACACATTATGTGCGGTGCTTTACATATAAAACTCCGTAGCAACACATCCACAGATAAGTTGGACGATATAGCGTGTGCGACCGATTTTATAAGCCACAAATGAGAAGTAGTGCTTAAACAGTATAAAACTACAACTTTCCCTTCTGTTGATAAAGGGCGCAGCCATCTTGGATTCTGAACTCGGGAATGTCGGGATCCTCTGTGCTGCTCCGAGATATTTCTCGGATGTCCGAGAAACGGGAGCGCATGTAGTTACTTCCGGCTTCAAAACTCCGGAATCCGACTCGGAATACAAGTTCCGAGGGGAAATGGAACACACTAAAACTACCAGAAATGGGTTGACAGAGACATTTCAGTGATTTTGAATCATTCTGAGCTGCAGATGGGTTAATTGCGTTAAAAATTTTAATCAGATTAATCATGATGATGGATTAATCCGCGTTAACCCGTTAATTTTGACAGCCCTACTCTAGAGCTATATCTTTAGAAAGAGGAGATATTGTGGATGCACAAGGTAAAAAGATGTTAGTGGTGTAGTGGTACTTTTTGTAGTTTAAAGTCCGACACATTTATTAAACATAAGGATACACCTCATTTATACAGGTCAGGTCAGGTTGGGGAGCATGCGCTGATGCAGCACGTTGCCACACCTATACCATGCTCTCCCAGTCCATCTGCTGACTTCATAGGAAGAGTCACCAGAAATGTGAATGTCGCTGCCGAGGTGAGTAATCTCTCGACGAGGTCAACATTCTCCCTGCAGACAAACACTACTGATTGCTGTGCCTAAGAAGTCATTTAAGGCCTGGATATTGGACTTAGTCCGGGACACCCACAATCCCAGACACTTAGACTCCTTGCTCAGTCTCTTGAGAGCCCCAATCAGAGGCTCCATTGCCTCCTCTAAGATCACAGCATCATCGGCAAAGTCAAGATCAGTAAATCTTTCTTCACCGAGAAATGCCCCACAGCTGCTAGATCCCATGACCCTACCCAACACCCAGTTCATACAAGCATTGAACAGAGTAGGAGCAAGAAAACACCTCTGGCGAACCCTAGAATCAACTGGGAAGAACGTGGAGGCTCTCCCTCCACTCTGCACAACACTCACAGTACACCCAGCAACTTCGGGGGGATCCCCAAATGAGTATTGCAGCCTTCTGACCGACCAGACCAAAAGCAGGTATACCCACCTACAGAGACCTGGCCATATCCCAGTCTGCGTACCTCAGAGAGTGCCACCACCAAAATGCTGAGTTTACGAAGCTTCCCCGACAGTAAAGAAAAATGGTCGTCTTGCTGGAGAGATGAGATGTTCCATGTGTCTACCTGGATGGGCTGCCTCAAACTGGGACCCAAGTGCTGCCATGCAACAGGCAATGCCTCAGCACCGCACCAACCCTGATCCCCAATATGCCTGACCCTAGTAACTCACCAACGATTTTGATTTATACAGACCACTAACATGTGGGCATCACAATATGCATCACATGAATATCTTAAGCACACTACTAAACTGCTTACCAAACTGGGTGTAAGTAAATGTCCGTATAGTACCGAAAAGGCATCTAAAGCCTGGTGATGATTGCACATGCAGCATATAATCGCGATTACTGCTGACCAACCCTGTGGCTTCACATTCATGTCAGCCAGTTGAGGAGACTGGGCGGGATGAGAACAAATGAAAGTCAGCCTCTGTGACCTTGCACATGAGTGAATGTTGTATCGGCAAAACATCAATTTTGTTTGAAGTATATGGCCACCTGTATCAGGAAGTGGATAATTTACTCTACTGCTGAAATTTAAATTCTAGTCCTGGAATGTGAAACGACCCCCGGTTTTTAGATGTAATTTTTTGTAGATGTAAAACACACCGTCTTTGGGTCAAAATGGTAATATTTTTCACTCTCAAGTGAAAAATATTAGTCATGTATTTCATATTCTCTCTGATTTATCCTGTGACACTACTAAATACCCCCTGGATTATGCATAGCTCTACACGATTTCTTCAGAGTACTTTGGCATGAGGATAATAAACTATTGGGCCAAAAGTATGTGGACATCAGCTTGTCAACACCTCTATCTGAAAATGGAGTTGGCCCACCTTTTGTTAATTTAATAGCCTCCACTCTTGGAGGGATTGTTAGATTTTGTAACATTGTTCATGGGATAAGTTGCTCTAGCAGGGCAGAATTTTAACAAACTGACTTGTAAATATGAAGTCCTGTAATAGTGTCAGGTAGGGTGCAATGGATCACAAAACTCAGTTCAGATCATATCACGGTTTTGGGTCAAGGATAGGATCCTTTTTCAGATTGGAAAGAACAAAGCGGTAACAAATGTAACTTTGCCCAGCATTTATTACTTAATACTTAAAGGGGGGCCCGGAGCCTATCCCGGAAGCACTGGGCACGAGGCAGGGAACAACCCTGGATGGGGTACCAGCCCATCGCAGGGCAGGGCACACTCACACACCGTTCACGCACACATGCACACCTGTGGGCAATTTAGTAACCCCAATTAGCCTCAGCATGTCTTTGGACTGTGGGGGGGAAGCCGGAGTACCTGGAGGAAACCCTACAATGACACGGGGAGAACATGCAAACTCCACACACATGTAACCCAGGCAGAGAACCAAACCCAGGTCCCAGAGGTGTGTGGCAACAGCGCTAACGGGGGTGTCCACGTACTTTTGGCGATATAGTGCATAATATTAATGGTTAGATGTCAGGGATTTGGTTATTTGTTTCTAATAATCTTAATTTGGTTTCTGTTCATAGGGTTGGCTACCTCCCCAGTATGAGTACCATGTTTGCAATTTAGAACAAGTGCCTTCATCTACTGATCATATTGGGTTTGATGCAACAATCAGGATCAAGAACATCACTACAGTAGAACAAGCTCAGCAGTGGGTGAAGGCAGCTAAGAGGAGCTCGGGGGTGATGTGGAGGGTTGATGTCACCAGACCTAGGTTGGGGAAACGTGTTTTACATAAGGTATTTGCTAAATCAGTTAAGTGCAATCAAGCACCCAAGAAACATTTCAGTGACCTTGAGCTGTTTTAGATCTCTACTGCAGTGCTCTGATTTATCATTAAATGATGGTAATACCACTGGCTAATTTGAACTATTTCATTCAGGTTTCTTACAAGTGTCAGCATAATGTAAATGTGAAGTCTAAGACGGCAAATTCCAGAAGATCCTCAAAAAATACAAACTGTCAGGCAAAGATGTCTGTCACTCTCAAGTACTGTAATAATGGGAAGATTAACCAGTAAGTTTGAGTATACATACAGGCAGTCCCCAGTTTAAGAACGTCCAAATTATGGACAACTTCTTACTTATGGACAGACTGCCATAAAGCCTATTATATTACAAATTTGGGTTAAATACAATTGTTCGTAATAATGAATTTGCTCACTACATTATGCGGTTTCAGCGGTTTGTCAGCTTGAGGTACACAACATTATGTAGTTAATAATTGCATAGTAATAATAAAATTATGTGCTTTATTATTTTTCAGACTTAAAGATAGACTTAGGGAATGGGTCTCGTTCATAACCTGGGGACTGCATGTATATTTGTAAACTTGCTCACAATTCAGATGTTCTGTTTATTTTGGCATTAACTAGACATAACATTAATGTGATGTTGTTATAGGAGCAAAGATCCACACATGCCTGACTTTCCCTTTGAGGTGAAAATTCAGAACAAGCACAACCACAACCTGTTTGTTGCAGAGGCTCTCAGACACCGAGATGTGGGAGAGAAAGCCATAGAAAGTCTTACAAAACTGTTTGAGATTGGTCACTCTCCCTCATCTGCACTGTCTGCCCTGAAGAATGATCTGCAAATGGAGTATGGGGACAGATTCGCCTATGCCTCAGCTAACCGGGAGATTTGCCCAGACCTTTCATTTGTGCAAAAGTAAGAATTATTTTCCCTTGAAAGTAAAATGTTATAATTGTGTAAAATGTAAAATGACTAGCTTAAGTATAAGTGGTGCTGACACCAAATAATTAAATTCCAACTGGTTTGTAACTTTAATTGACCACTATCATATACTGCATGTATCATTGACACTGACCTTTTTCACAGACTGTACCAAAAAGTTTGCAGGAAGGAGTATGGTGCACACACGCAAGGTATCCTATTGTATAATAGCAGAATTCAGTTTCAGATGAGTTAAGAGTTAAGTAATGTGAAAGCAAATTGTTATAAATCTTGAATATTAACACTGTATTGACATATCTTTTTGTATTTTTAGAAGCAGGTACAACACATAATCAACAGCACTTACAGACAGGTGGTTTGTTATGATTTTTTATTATATGATAAATTTATTAACAGCAGTGTAATATATGTATTGTATAATATCTGGGATATATTAGTTGGTAAGCTAACATTTGGTACGCGTAGCTGACATGTTGGATAAAGAAGAAATAAGCAGGGATCTACAAGACCTTGATGTGCTGTTTTTACAAGAGTCATTGTTATTTATGTCACATGGGGATGGTCACAATGTTTTAGCTCATCTGTGTACAAACTCACTGGCCACTTTATTAGGTGCACTTTGCTAGTATCAGGTTGGACCTCAGTTTTGCCTTTAGAAATGCCTTTGTGGCATAGATTCAGCAAGGTGCATGAAACTTTTCTCAGACACTTTGGTCCATATTGACATGACAGCATCACACATTTTCTGCAAGTTTGTAGGTTGCCCCTTCATGGTGAATCTGCCGTTTCACCACATCCCATAGGTGCTTTGTTGGATTGAGATCTGCTGACTATGGAGGCCGTTTGAGTACAGTGATCTCATTGTCATGTTCAAGAAACCAGTCAGATATTCTTCCAGCATTATTAGCTTTATAGCTAAAAGTAGACATTAGAAACTGGGTACACTGTGGTCATAAAGGGATGGACATGGTCCGTAACAATCCTCAGGTAGGCTGCGGCATTTAAACAATGCTCACTTGGAAGTAACTGTAGCCTCTGTATCCTGTTCTTAGCCAACAGGAGTGGCACCCGGTCTGGTTTTCTGCTGCTGTAGCCCATCTGCTTCTAGGTTTGACATGTTTTGTGCTAAGAGATGCTCTTCTGCATACCTTGGTTGTAGTGACTGGTTATTTGAGTTACTGTTCCCTTACTATCAGCTTCTCTGACCTCTGCCAAGGCATTCTCACCCAGAGAACTTCTGCTCACTGGATGTTTTTTCTTTTTCAGCCCATTCTCTGTAAACCTCAGAGATGGTTGTGCATGAAAATCCCAGCAGATCAGCAGTTTCTGAAATACTCACACAAGCCAGTCTGACACTCACAACCACGCCACATTCAAAGTCACTTAAATCACTTTTCTTCCCCATTATGTTGATTGATGTGAACATTACCTGATGCTCCTGAGCACTATCTGCATGATCTTATACATTTTAGTACTGATATATAATAGGCTGATTAGATAGTTGCTTCAACGAGCAGTTGAATAGGTGTACCTAATAAAGTGGACTCTGTGTCATGTAGATATTACAATGTGGGGGCCAAAAATGTCCCCACAAGGGAAAATGCAATTTTATTTAAAAAAAAAAATAAAAAATCTGTGAATACAATCAAAAAACTAAAAATATCAAATGTTTTGTATTTTGTTTGGTTACTTATGGTTAAGGTTAGGGCGGGGTGGGGGTTAAGGTTGTCATAGTCGGGATTAGAGTTGCACCCAAAAAAAAAAAAATGGACGGTTCTCACAAAGAAAAGAATGCGTGGACAATGTGTGTTTTTTGTGTGTCAGGTGTTAAAAGGTGTTAATTTCTTGAATTAATAATTTCACAGACCTCACTGCTGACCAGGCATCCACATATGCCCAGCCCATCATTGAAGATCATAATGATGAAGCCAGTCATGGTAATGTTCTGCCTGTGTCTTTATCACCTGTCTCTGCCTCTCCCATACTATAGAGTTCTTAACTGGAAAATTTTAAAATATACAGGAAAGTAGGACTCTCATTTATCAGAGTGTGCATATGAATTGCTGGTTGGCATGGGCAAATTGGTATTTCTCACTCGTGCATACTTACAGCCCTAACACACACGTGCAAAATATATTGCACATTCTATTCACACATTCTAAATATGACTGCACACGCAAGGCAAAACAAATGTTAAAGAAATGCCCTCAATGAACCATATATGGGCGAATAACTTCTGCATTAAACTTCATCGAACTGCACAATAGGAGAACATGTTAGAGAAATGGAAACTGTTTAGAGAGACATACTCCTATATACAGGGGTGGCCAGTTTTACCATAAAGGGCCAATGTGTGTGCAGGTTTTAGGAATAACCTTTAGGTCAGCCACTCAGACCCCAGGTAATCAGTCCTCTAATTAGTAACTTAATTAGGGAGTCACTGCGAAAACCTGCATAATCTGGATAAGATTGCCCACCCCTGCCCTATGTCCTTATTGCTTTATATATTTTGCACTATACGCTTGTATTGTTATTTTGTGACTATTTTGCTATTAAGAAATAAAGTACAAAAAGAGAAGAGTGGGAAAAATTAATCTTCACCAAGAATGAGGTGAAGATTTCTCAAAGAAAGTGAAAGACCCAGTTTGGGAACAGGTGAGACATGCAGGTAGTGCTGTGTCACCTGTAACAACAGCAGCCGCAGGCTGAGGAAGAAGTGGCTCGATCTGAAAAGGATTGCAGCGCACAGATCCCACATCCATGCCATGGGGCGGCCCAAGTACCACGTCAGTGTCACGTCTGCATGGTAACATAGCTGACATCATAGGCAAAACATCCCTAATAGGAATTATTCTAGATGGTGATACTGTGCAGCTCCATCACCCATGGAGTGTTTGTAAATAAATGCACATTTCTACACATGGGAAGAAATTGAGAAGTACCACTGTATGTGTAAAAATGTTCGAACACATAGTTTACACAAGAAACTGTTTGTGTGCACGGTTGATAAATGAGAGCCCTGGTTTATTTCTTTTATGCATACCCAACTGTGAAGTCTCAAAGCATTGTTTTTTCAATGAAAAAAATTGTCAGAAGTAGTTACATGAAAATACTGTAAACAGCAGTTTACATAGTATGCAAGTAAAAATAGTATGGACATTGTTTCAGAGGTAAAAAAAAAGAAAAAACAATACAAACCTTTTAGTATGTCACATTCATTTAGACTTCAGTTACCCATATGCTTTTTGTTTTTTTAATTTTGACAGAAATGCCTGCTAACTTGGTTGAGGCCATGATCGACAAACTGTGTCAGCTCCGTGATGACAACCACTTTAGTCCTGGGCTGGTTGCTATGGCCAAGCAGTTTAATCACATAAAAGATAACCCAGCAAAGCTACTGTCTGCGATGCACGGCTTTGGGAAATCCTCCAACCCTGTAGCATACAGTGCCAAAGCCATCAGAAGACCAGCAAAACGTCTACAGCCTACATCTTTGGACAGTTGTTCCGTCAAAGTGGGGTCAAAGAAGCGTCTGAGCCCTGAACACAGTGGTACAGAACATCCATTCTGACTGGATAAAAAGAGAAAGAGGGAAGTTTCCTCATCACAGATTGGGGTGTTGTGTGGCAATGAACTGTTAGCACAGTTAGCTGTTGGGGCTGCATTTTTTGGGGGGTGGTTTAATATTGAAATCTGGAGATTCAGTGGGCCTCTCCCCCACAGTAATTTTATTGTTGTACTGTACATAGTTAATTGTCAATAGTTTCTTTTAGAAACTTATGCAAAAGTAACCTGTTGCACCTGTCAAAAGTTAATTTACAAACCTATACAAAGTCCAAAAACTTACATGCAGTTTATATGGAAATTTACAGTAATGTACCATTTGCACTTTACCATTAGCATCCTGTGCTACGTCCTGTACTTCTGCTCTGCATCTTCTTTTGTTTTTACTTTGAGATGTGCCAAGTCTACTTTAAATCAACTTTTTGTAGGCATGCAATAAAGGGATAGTGATACTTCATGCTTAAAATTACCCTACTGTATATTCATTCATTCAGTCATTCATTCAGTCATTTAGATGATTATTATAATAATAATCTAATAATTAATAACAATACTGCTATACTAAGCAGCAGCAAAAGAATAGTAATGGTGGTGCATCACATTCATTTTGATTGATTTAATGATATCCAAGTGACAATATTGAGCCAACTTCTCACTGTCGTGCTGGTTTGTCCCTTTGCTATGCAGTAGATGTGTGCCCAGGTTGCATTAGTTTGCCATGCTGTGTACACACACACCTTTGCATGTAGAGCCTGTATCACAAACCGTAGCTAGCCCAGTAGTACAGATGATTTTGAGCAACGGAGGCCTAATGTGGATGCAGATGTAGCCTTCACCTAACTCACTAAATTAGCTTCTATGTTAGGATAGTCATACAAATGTTTTTCAACATGGGTAATAATAATAATCACTTTAATACTGCATTCTGGCCTACCAATAATCACTTTATTTATTAATTGTCTTTTTTACACTTCCCTCAGCTTGCTCTTTGTAAGCAAGCTGTCCACAAAGGGCAGCCGCCCATGGCAGCACCCAGGGAGCTGGGGGTTAAGGGCCTTGCTCAAGGACCTGCAGACATGGCAAGGCTGGGTGTGAACCAGCGACCTTGTGATTACAAGCACATTGAGCCACATGCTGCCCCTAAATGCACATCTTTATAGGTTATGAAGCAAATTTTGAAACGGCTTGTTGCGACCAATGCAAGGTTATGGAATTCCATGACAGCTGTTCAGTTACTGGAGCATCACAGTTGCTTGACAATCGACTGGCTGGTCACAGTCCAACTTACCAACTTACTACCAGCCAATCACAATGTAAGCCTACGTCCCTCTGGCCCCTGAGATCACATCAAGAGGTGGATATTGCTTACACACGTTTGGCAGTAGTGTGTGCACATGAATGAAGAGTGCACAGGTGCGGAATTGGGTGCTGTAAATGGCACGAGAGCTGCAGTGATAAATGTTCTCTGTCCACCCTCTGACTGAAGTGCTCTGATTTAACTCATCACAGAGGAAGAAGCGTCCCCTCTTCACATTATCCACTATATTTCCAAAATTGAATACATTTTGATATATCTGGTGGCATTTAAACACCAAGTTCTGTGGCATGTACAATGTCCGAGTGTTTTTTGCTGCTGTTTTTACTTTTTCATACATCTTATTGCGTATGTTGTAGGGAGCACTAGTGGCCACTGCATGGCTCTGTAGTACAAGCGAGACCATAATGATGGACACAGAACTGCGGTGGCACCCCACGTTTGGTATATTTTAGCAAAAGCAGTAATATATTGACTTACGAGAACTTTAAGTATCTGTGTGAATGTTGGCATCAAAAATGAAAACAAAAGCATTAATAGGCTGGAAGAAAGGTGCAATCCTTTTCGAAGTTGAATATGTTGTGTAGACGGCAGACTTTAATGAAAATGTGTAAGTGTACAAAATAATTGCAGCTTCAGGTTATATTCATTATAGTTTCTCTTAAACACGTGCTTTGACTCCATTACTTAAATAGATGAAATTACTTTTAAGACATAGAAACTCCAGGTATTTCAATGTTTTAATGCAATCTTTGTTCCACATTTACTCAACCCCAAAAATCAAATTTTATAATTATCTTTTAAAAATCTTTCATTACTATGATTAAGTCACCATTAATCATAGTAATACAAATCTTATATAAAACAAACATTAAGCTAAAGTTATTTCCCTTTAACATATTTTTACAAAACATTTAAAGTTTACTTCTTGCAATACAACTTTTCATACAAAAATTCAAAAAGCGTGACATGACACTGCCATAAGGCTTGCAGTGAGTGAAACAGACATAAAGGTATGTTTGTAAATACTTACTATAGCTTTTTAACTGTTGAGGTTAGAAACAAAAAAGTAAGAATAAATGGAATCTATTCACCCAAATACACAGCCTACACCAGGTAGTTTCATTAATGTATTAGATAAATCAAAAGAAAGAAATGTGTATAATCAACACGTTTTTTTCTGAAAACTAGTGCAGCAGCTTTATTAATATAAACATCTTTTAATCGCTTATCCAGTACACGATCGCTGTGAGCCTGGAGCCTATCACGGAACAACATACAGGGTTGCCAACTATCACGCATCTGCCGTGAACTCACGTGTTCAGACACTCGGGCAAACGCAAGAAATCTTATGACAAATCTGTATTATTCTATTTAAAATGAAAACTAGCTGCATCAAAAGTGTTGGGGTACTTTGCAAACCCTGTAGACTATTTAAAAGGTAATGATAATGTTACATACATATAAATGAGAGAGTGTGTATATGTGTGTAGACTTGCCTGGAATTGAAAATCTCACTCCAGCTGAGCGAAGCTGGCAACCCTGCACATATAAAAATCACAAACTTGGTAATTTAGAGAGACCTAATTGCAACCAACATTGAAGACAAATATCTGCACAGTATATGAAGGGTGTCACTGTTTATACATGCAGATTTATGCAAATTTCATAGAATGTGTCCTTCTGTACGTCTAATGGAACGCTTTTATTGCTTTTCTTAAAGTATCCTGTGAAAATTTCGCTGAATTAACTCCAATTAACTACAGTTAATTCATAAAATCTGCACCGTTTCACAAATAGCTAACAGTTTCCACTTCCAGACAACTATTTCGTCTATTTATTTCGAATGCACATGGTGTAAGCAAACCGAAGCTAAACGTGTTCCTCTAATTTACTACATATTTATTTACTCAACTAAATGCTAATCTTAGCTGAACGAGTATCTATTTTAATCGGCAAAATAACTGAATCACATGTGTCGTAGACAAATGAAAACGGGTTACTTTTTTAATGTCAAAAACTACAATTCCCACATGATTTCCGGACCTGCCAGTGGCAATGTGATTCTCGAGAGGCAATGCATAGTACACAGCATGGCTGCGTACCGTGTCGCTCGGTCGAAATCCGAAAGCAAACCTAACTTCGCAGTTAAGCCACTTTAAAAACCGACACAACGTTCTAGGGTAAAGGCAACATAATGGATAAAATGAGACTAGTCGTACCACACCAATGCATATAGTTTGTTGGCTCCAGACTATATGTACTGCCGGAAACTTCACAAGAAATTACCAAGGCTTCAGCCAAATAATACACGCTTGTCAGATCAAGTGTGGTAGGCATGCTGTTGAGAAAGTGGTGGACGACAATACTACACTTTTAAAATTAATATAATAAGCGGATCTTATGGGTGGACATTTATGACAAACATACTTCAGCCCAATTGTTACAGTTATTCATTTTTTCTTGACGTAATATTCAAACCTCTGAGATGCTGTTAAACCTAACTTATAGCTTGATGCCCGTCCTTGACTAGCACTAATATTAACCAATACAAACTGGGCATATTGTTTGACTGGCCAATCGTATTTAGAGAAATAGGGCTTAGAGGCGGGGTTTCCAAGGAATAGCACGTTGTGTGTTAGGTTGTTAGAAAGTTAATGGCTGGGGGGGAAGAGAACCTCTTCTCTTCTCGCTTCGGGAGAGTTTAGGGTTTTCTGAAGTGAAAATACCGCGGCCGAAAGGCAAATAATAACCTGAAGGAAGTGTAAGACAGTTATACCCAAACAGCTGTAATATTTAGATAAGTATGCAGGATGCAGTAGCCGGGACGGCAATGTTGACTGACGGCTTCGAGGACGAGATCGACTCGGTGACTCCGCGCTCCCCTGCGGTGGGGATGGGGGTAGGAGCCGCACCGGGAGCAGGACTCGGGGGCATGGGCATCGGCGGGAAGAAAGTCCGCTTATTCGGCGAATCGACAGGGCCAGGTGCGGACCGACTGGACTTTAAGCTAGCCGCGGCCGCTGTGCTCTCCTCGGGTCCTGGATCCGGCAGCGACGAGGACGAGGTGTCGGAGGTAAGCCGGGACGGGACCCGTGTAGCCCGTTAGCCGTCTTAGCTAACCGATTCTCCGCCATCCTTTCCCGTCGAAATTGGCCAAAAACTGATGTCGCTCCGGATCAAACTATGAAGCCGATATCCGACATGTGTGCGACTCCCCTCCTGTCGCGCTGATTTTAATCCACAAGCCGGCGGTTTGAGTTCGAGAAGGCGGCTCCGGTTCCTGGCTGCGGTTAAGGCCTAGTGAGGGTAGTGGGGATGGCAGCGGCATTGCGGAGTCTCACGCCCGCTAGCCGCACGACTTATTGCCCTTCCGCGTCGGAAACACATCGAGTCAAACGTCCTGTAGCTAATTTAAAAAAATGATCGATATTTTGCACCATCCACTGCAGTTATAGACGTGCAGCGGTGCCTCCGCTCGGCGCTTCCCGGCTTAAGTGTCAGTGTTTTTGCTGAAGCCTTGAGCTGAGGCGCCTTAGGGCTGGGATGTTTGCTTTATTGTTGGGTTAATTCTGGATGGTCTACGGTGTGCTGAGGTGTGTATTGGGGTGAGTCAAGAACGAGGTTTCTCCGCTGCACAGCAGCTGCGGACCTGTCAGCTCTCGCCCGAGTCTGTGCGTTGGGCTGCAGCTCCACTCTTCGTGTTTATCGGACGATCTCCTATGCAAACCTATTGCATAGGTTGGAGTTAAAATGTTTCAATTGCCTATCGAAATGTTAGCCGACTGTCACCCCGTCCTCCCCGCAAATGGATCTTGTCTAAGTGCCATCGTGTTCCCCACCCAGCATACGTCCCGACCAAGGGGCGTCTACCTGAATACGATGTGTTGTGTACGCCGCATCGTTTTAGGTAATTAAAACAAAATTGAGCGCGTTCACACTTTGATACTCACTATTTGCTGGATACCTGTAAAACGTGTCGTTATTAACGAGAATTAAGCCACCCTGAGCCCTGTTGGGTTCCTGTTACCGCTTCAGGGCTCAAGTGAAACCGAGGCCTGCTGGACTTGTTGTCAAAATATTTAGTGATTATAATCACGGAATCCTGACAGTGAGCAGCAAACGTTTGTCGGAAATAAGCCATATAGGCTATACATCACCTTCAAAATATTACTCGGTATTAAAGACGACCATTCTCTAACCAAACATATCCATTCTTCATTTCTTTGTCGTCATGACTATTGAATAAAAACCTCGGCAGTTCTATTGCCTGAATTTAAATATCATGCATTACCCCCATCATTCATAGTTATGAGATTACTCATTTAACAAAAACGTCAGTTGATTAGCAGTTCTATATAGTATAACTGTTATGTAATTAACTAAAACCTACCGTGAGGTGCTGGAAGTGATGTTGAAGTTCATAGGTTAAGTAGACCCTGCCTCCTGTAGGATGGTATCACCTCTGCCTCCCGCTTTTGCTCAGAGCAATCTACCATGTGGTCATGCTCTGCCGATGCACCTTGAGGTTGTCATGAGTGTCTGTCTGAAGCAACAGGAACACCTGGAACCCACGAGTAACTCTGTCTCCTTTTATGCTGTAATGTACTGGGCAAAACACCTAGACCTCTTTTGTAAAGGGCGCACACTCATACCTAATGTGTCAGAAAGTCCTGCATTCTGTAAAACAATAAGGCTGGAAAACACCTATGTGGAAACTCAGTGAATTACTTCTGCCACCTCAGACTCCCCAGATGCCCCATCTCATACACTCTACCCTCCCTGAAATGTTATATGATGATCTGTTGTCTTGGGTTATTCTTTATGGACATGTATCCGATACCGTTTTCTGAGCCTTATGACATACTCATTCTAAATTAGTAATACAAATTTCTGTCTTCCAGCCAGCATGGCTACTTCTGGTTTATTATCTCAATAATTACAGCATGTGTGTATATATAATTGCAGTAGACATGAAGCTGTAACTGATAGTACAGAGTCATGAATCTTCAACATACATGGGTTCATAGCATCGCGGCAGAGATGGAGAGTAAGGATGCGTGCTGGGTTCGCCTGGGACGAATAGGGGAGTGGGATGTTTACCCGTGACAGCGTCTGCAGGAACACCATCACGGGGGCTATCTGTGAACAGTGGCCGCAGTGTTCAGCCAAGCAGATTGTGGGGGAAGGTGGTGAGGGGGGTGGCAGTTGTCAGACTTTTCCCCGGGTCCTCGCTCCCTCTGTCACCCATGGCAGCTGTCAGTGCAGGAGGGCAGAAATGAAGGGTGTGATGTCTGCATGTGTTTATTCCTCTCAGTTTCATAATGCAGTTTTGAAATTGGCATGTGTCAGTTGGTTGTGATGTGTGTAAAGGGCGTGGAGGGGTGGGGGTCTTTCTCTGTGCTCCCCCAGATTGGCTGAGAGCTTGCTGCATTTCAAGTCTAGGATTAGGCAGATGCATTTCCAGACCTTTCCGGCTCAAGCAAGCGTGTGCTTTAATAGCAGCACATCCTGGGAACTGCAGTCTTCGGGGGGAATCCCTGTTCAGTAGCCCTGCTGTGACTATGTCTCCCATAGGTCATTGTGTCCTGCATTCTGTTCATACACATGCCTGAACAGTGCTGACTGCTGCCCCGCCATTCACTATGTCTTCTCAGTCCATTTTGTGCCCCATGCTGGTGAGTGTGTTGTCATGCCTATTGAAATGCCCACTATCAGTCAGCCCCTGCCATTTAAGACATCAGCAGTCCTCAGCGTTCAGCATGCATGCCTTGAATTTTCTGTTTGTTTTATTCCCTGTCCTCTGAGTTTTCTTCCACATTGAGCTTGGGCATTGTTTGCGCCGAATTTCTGCAAGCAGTAGAAAGATTTGTCGGCTGGAATCCCATTTGTGCATGGGATATACTGTGTGTGCACGACACTTCAACCTGTATGTTTGAGTCAGATTGTTTACCATTAATCATGCTAATAACTTTCATATACAGTGGTACCTCGGTTCTCGAACTTAATCCGTTCCGGACTCCGGATCGAATCCTAAAAAGTTTGAGTTCTGATCGAATTTTTCCCATAAGAAATAATGGAAAACCAATTAATTGGTTCCCGCCCCCCCAAAATTACAGCTAAATATGTTTTTTTTTTTTTTTTTTTTATAGCATTTAAACACAAAATGAACAGGATAAAACAAGAAGAGCATTTTTTTCTTAATGGCTTCCAAAACGATAAAGATCTTATCCCAACATTACCCCTGTCCTGCCCCGATCGTCCGCTCCTTCTGTGTGCCACGCCCCCTCGTTAACCTCGTGTGGGATCCCCATGTGATCAGCTGTTTCTGATTGTTGTCATTAGTCCTCTGTATTAAGCCCGCGTTTCAGCTTGTTTCCCCAGTCCATTCATTGGGTGCGTTCGACTGGCTTACAGCGCTGGCTTAAGCAACTCATTCTGATCCTGACGCAATGTATTACGGTTGGATGCATTGCGACCTCTCACCCGGCTGCACAAACTGGAACCGCCTCCGTGACGACACACCTTTGCCCTTATTGGCTGAAGAGTTTAGTTACACGCATGACGTTTGTATCCCAGGCAGTTCCGATGTGTAATCTGCTATTTCTCCTGAATATCACATAAAGCAGTGAGAACTGGTTTTCAGTTAATTTACCTGGTAAAATAAAGTTTAAATAAATTACATAAATGCTCTAATAGTACACGTAAGTTAGTGGTTTATTTATTGTTAGTTACTGTAATGTTGCGCTGCTTTATTTGGTTAATCCTCGAGTCTGTGAAGAAGGCATTCAAGTAAGAATTGCATTGTAGTATGACTCATTTCCTGGCGCGTACAATTTATATTAGGTCGGCGTTCACGGTTCGACTTCTGATATTCAGATCGAGTTCTAGGTCAAAGAAATTTCAAGAAATTCGAGTTCTAGTGAGTTCGAGAACCGAGGTACCACTGTATAAGCATTTCCTTAAGACTTGTCAAAATTCAGAAACAGCATACTACAAAATGTAGTTATTTTGTGAAAGTCAAGCATTAAAATTGATATTTGGACATATGTAAGTTTCTTTAATGAAGATGTTTGTCTGAACTTCCCACGTGTGTTTTTTATTAGTCGTTAGGCAGCAGGCATTTTACATACATAAAACGTGTCACACATGGCAGCCCATATTGATTTGCACTGCTAATATAAAACCTTATCAAAGCACACTTATTTGAAACAACTGATGTTATAGCTTGATTTTTAAAGCACATTTGTTTAATTTGTACTTTTATTCTCAATGATTTTGTGTTATGGCATTGGTGTAGTGATTGGTATCTGCATGTAGACACTGTAAACACTATGTAAACTGTTTAAAAGCTTATTGTATGATGAGCTGTACCTGCTTGATTCTGGTTTGTGCCATTGGTGGATGATTTATTGTGGCAGATTGTGTCATTCAGTGATGCCCAGTCCCTTGGCTTTATGAGCAGAAGGCTGGTGTCTGTTTGAAGGAATGTTTAACTGTTCCAATTCTACAAATGTCTTTTATGTATATGTACATCTTGAATGAGCACACCTAGCATCAAATGGGCAGCTTTATTAAACACCGTGGGGATATTCCATGAAGCAGGATTAAGGGAAAGTCTGATGTATTTCGCCAAGTCTGGCTCATTTAAGTGGGAGTTAAGTGGGAACAGGGAGGTATTTTTAGATTTTGTTTAGTCAGTCTACTTTGAAAGTAAAATGGCAAAGACAAGATATGGTTATTTGTGCAGAACATTTCACACAGATGTGATTGAAAATGTATTACGGAGATTAAATAATTCAGAATAATATAATGTCTGTATTTAAGTCGAATTTGTAGGTAAGTCGGAAAAACAATACAGTGCCTAATAAGAATTATTCAGTAATAATAATTGTAACTATAAAGGGTTCTGTACTGTAGCTCGAGCCAACAAACCATTGAAACTGCGAAATATTTTCACGAGTGTCACAAAGTAATCCACACTTTCGTTTTTATGAACCATTGTATTTAACCCAAATTTTTAATATAACTGGCTTTATGTCAGTCCGTTCATATGTACAAGTTGTCTGTAAGTTAGATGTTCTTAACCTGGGGACTGCTTGTACCAGCATTTTGAAAAAATGGATAATTTATTATGTGAATGGCTATTTGATCTGGCCCAAAGTGAAATATGGAGATATTTCCGCGACAAAATGTATGATAAAGGTGAGTTCCTAAACACAGCAGCACCCTGTCCACGCACTGTTTTAGTGTGTCTCACAAAGAGAGGTGACACATCAAACCTGGCCAGGTATCCGTCGGCCAAACATCCTGAACTTTTCAAGGAATTCAAAGACTGAAAGGTGATAGCTGACTAGTTCTCTCACCTGCTATGTCCATGAAAGAAATCAGAGTGATTGAAAAGCCTCTCTGCATTGGTTATATGTATATTCATACATAAGCTGCAGTGATGCGGGGGTCCATTTCACAAGCGACCTGAACTTGTCGATGAATTCAACCTGGCAGTGACTCTAACCACAATTTTAATCAAGACAAATGATGCTCAACCTGTTTTTTTGACTAACATGCATACATTTTAAATGACCCACCCACAAATGCCCCGAATATCATTAAAACCATTTTTAGAAATAAAGCGCAATAATGAAATTTGAGAGTGTTTTCCCCTTTTTAGAAAAATATCGAATTTGGAAGCTGTTGCCCTTTGATCTAAAACAGGGACACTCCCTGAATGATGACTGGCTCAGAGATTATTACTCCGCAACTTCTGTCAAAACAGTCCATTTACCAGGCCAAACCTGTTTGTAAGCTGTGTCGGCTCTTGATGACTTTGGACCGTGTACTCCAGGTCAATCACCAGCAGCAGCTCATAAGATCTAGTTTCTTCTTCTGGTAAGCTCTGAGTTGTCGATACGTCTCCACCTGCCCTGGATGCTGGTCTGTGTTGCATGATTTCGGGTCTGAATGTCAATCTCATGACAAACCTAGAGAGTGCTGCTAGTCGGAGGCTCGATGGGGGCTCATGTGCAGCCGCTCACTGTAGACAGGAGAAGGAAGTGAGTGGGTGAGTATGGTGAGAACTGTGAATAGCAGCCGTAGCAAAGGATTAATCTGTCTGGACATGTCCTTATCTTCAGTTACTGTTTTGCTTTAAGGCTGCGTGTCGGTGTGAGTGAGCCGCCGGCATCTGGGTCTGCGTCAGTGGCGTGCTGGACCGCACTCCATGGTGCGTGTGGGCTAGACTTGTAGTCAAGACCGCCTAAACAAAGACCAAGACACTACCAAGACCAGAGAGTTTCGAGACCAAGACAAGACCAAGACTAAGACCAAGACAGACCGAGTCAAAATCAAGAAAAAGTCAAGACGAGACCGAGACCGAAAAAAAAAAGACTCCCCTAACTTTTGTGTGCTGTTGAGGACTGACATGACGGGTACTGACTGGTCCCAAAGTCATCTGACAAAACAGCTAACACCTCCAACAACTGTCTAAAGAATGGGAAATGTGACTGATTTCAATTATACTTAATTTGTAGATGAAATTGTAACATCAAATTGAAGATACACAATTATAAACTTGAAATTGCATCATGTCCAATTGTAGTAGTATTAGCCAAATGACACTATATGATATCAACTTCCCTGAAATGGATTAGGCCTGTTAAGTCAACACAACGTGATATGCAGATGTTGTTTAAAAGTCAATGGTCACATTTATTTAGTCAAACAACACCATTTTAAGTAAAATACTGTAATCAAACAATATAAAGACATACGTCACATGAATCAAATGCAAACTACAAATACTATATACCAATACAAACCATACATCAAATTGTGCATTAATAAGAATAAGGACAAGTGCTTAAAAGATTCTGACATCTTGATGTCTGCAGTGACATGTGATTACACATATAACGTTTAACTAGCGCTACACTTATTTTGCGCGTATAATGTGTATTTTGATTGGATGGACGCCAATGTCTGAATCACAACAAAATGCATGTATGTCATTGATTGGTTTCATTTGAAGGGCGCGAAAGGCAAAATAATAATAATGTTGTATTATCGAACGTTACGTTGTGTGTCATGGATACTTTTCACTCCAAATCTCCCGACCACTATGTCGATCTGAGACAGCAAGACTAAGACAGTGAAACCAAGACAAGACCGAGGGATTCGAGACCAAGACCAAAGACTGTCGAGACTGTGACAAGACTAAGACCACGTAAAAGACCACGTACATGCATATGTTGGACTACGACTAAACTTGTCAGTATTTTTTTGACAGCATGTACTATAGATTTAGTCGACTAAATATCCTGTAATTTTTGTAGTCTAAAACAAAAAAAAAATCAGGTTACTAAAATATGACTAAAACTAATTTTCAGCAAATAACTAAGACTAAAACTAAATTAAAAAATGCTGTCAAAATTAACACTGATGCCATACACATATCTAAAAGGGTAATGATGTGGGTTTGCCCCTGTTAGTTACAGTCTCACCCTTCTTTTTCCGGCTTCAGATCTGATCTTTTTTCAGTATGTTTTGTGGAACTGACAGAATTTACTGCAGCAGTTATGTGTTGTTATTCTGCAGGCACACTTTTATAGATTCTACTTCATTATGATTACACAAAGTGCAAGTACTCTGACAATGAAATGCAGCTTGGTATGTAATCTGGAAGTGCAGAAATAGTGCAAAGACTATAAACAGTTGTACAATATATACATGTGTGAAATAAATCATTAGAAAAATGTACCTCTTAACAGTTTCTGATAAATGTGCATAGGCACCCAAAAATAACATTTTATCGTGCCTTTTCCTCACACTCTTCAAAATTCCACTTCATGGTTTTTTATTCCGTTATTGTCGGACTTTGCATCCAGAAAGGCTTGATTTGCATATCATATGAGCATGCAGCTCATTTGCATTGAACATTTATAGTTATTTGGGCAGGATCTCAGGCTCGTGCAGGTACGCAGATTTACAAGATAGTTGCCACATTTCCGAGGGAAAATGTGCGTACGCGGGGTTTGATAAATGGATTTTTTTCTTCTTTTCTTGAGTACACATTTTTTTCCTCTTCGTGCATACACATTTTTTCCACAGTGAGATTTATGCAAAGTTTGATAAATAAGTTCCTTAGATATCTCAGTTATGAGCTGCAAAGTCAATGTGATTCACAGCTTATCAATGGGTGCTTTCCTTGGGCATATTAGGGTTTGTCAGGGAAAATGTAGTGTCTGAGTTCATTTCACTAATTCATTTGTGAGAATTTTATCTTTGGACAGCAAAATCTGTTTTTGCCTATGAATGCACAGCTCGTGCCAATATTTATGAAAAATGCTGCATTCTGTATTATTTTCAGTGCAATAACTTATGATAATCCAACATTTTAAAACGGCAGCAATTTTCTGACTAATGCCTCCAAGCGATGCTGTAGAGATGCATCAGTTAGTCGTGCCAGAGTAGTTCAGTGAAGGGTTTTGCTTTCGGTGTTCTGTGTAAACGTCATGCCTGTAACACCACCCAGCGCTGTTGAATAAGCAGGTCCACCCTGGCTGGGTGCCTAAAAGGAGGGACAGCAACTTACCACCTTTTAATCCTTTTTCATCTAATTCCCCCAGCCTGCCTGCCCCTCCCTTCCCTCCTCTCCCACATGCGATACCTTGTGGTTATGGACTGAACATTCTGTAGCCGCGTGTATAAATATGTCAGCACGGGGTGGGGGTGGGCCCTGTCAGAGCGCGGGGGGTGCCTGTCAGGCCGACTGTGCCCCAGGTGATCCTGTTGGCCTTTGCATGTCAAAGAGAGAGAGCGATAGAGAATGCTTGCTCATGTCCCAAGCTGGACTGAGCCGGCCTTGGCTGAATAGTGTACTGCCTTCTGGGAAAATACACCTCCCACACCACACACACACACAGATGACAGGGAGACAGTAGGAATTGCATCTGATCCCCTCTCCCCAGTTTTCTGGTGCTCAAATGTATGGCGAGGCGCGCTCTGTTTCCATGCAGCTCACATGAGGAGGACAGACCTGGGCTGTTTTTCCTTAACCGTCATTCCTTGCCCAACAGAGCCTCTGGTTAATGTAGCTTCTTTTTCCTGTTCTCTCTCTCCCTGTATCATGAAAAATTCTGTCAGGAAAGATTCATCTTTGCTGTGCTTGGCTGTGTCTTGTATGCATAAACCGCACAAATGTGTTCAGTGAATTTCTGTAAGGTAAGCCCAGCCTCTGAGCTAATATTTACACCTTTCTCTGGTAGACTTTGAGCCGCGTTGTCCTGTACGGTGTGGGGCCCTGTGGTCACATGACTTAAACTGAAGCAGTGTCCTGTTTGGGGAGGTGTGGCACCTGACTATCTGAAAAATGACCCTGGTGTCGATGTGAACATGCCCTTGTTGTGAGATCTGCTTAATTGACTGTGGCATTACATGCAGGCTTTAAGGCTGTCAGTCTGTGTGGGTTTGTAAGCAATTTCGTTTTACCCAGTGTGTGTGGAATTCCGGATAAATGAATTATCATTTGGTCTGCTAGTGTTGAAAAGTCACAGCTGAAAAAGACTTGTGCGAGCAAAGAGGGGATCACAAGTGTCCTGCCACGTGCTTAGAACTCGTGTTGATGTTCCAACCGCCCCCCCCAGGTGGAATCTTTCATCTTGGACCAGGAGGACCTGGACAACCCCATGCTTAAGACGGCATCAGAGCTGCTTCTGTCCAGTGCCACAGATGGTGTGGACCTGCGCACGGTGGACCCGGAGACACAGGCACGCCTTGAGGCTCTGCTGGAGGCTGCAGGTGTGTCCTCTGCACCAGTGAAACGCCATACACTTTCTGGGTTGGGAATCGGCTAATAGACTGATCACTCACACTGCACCCCGTGTTCCCTGCTTTTCATGTGTGTGATTTTGAAGGCGTGTGCATGTTTCCCATAATGCTTTGCCACGGTCTCACTATATAGTGACTAGTAGACATGTGAATGAACAATTTTGACGAGTGAAAAAATCGACTCGGTATCACTTGTGTACCATGTCATGTGACTGGAGTCTGGGCAGCTCAGCCAGCTCCCTGGTGCGCTCATGTGATTCCCCTAAGCTGGGATGTGTCCACTAGAACGGGGACGGTAAGTGTCCCGGGAAGCATACGAAGTACAGGAATAGAAATCGTTAGCGACTTAAGCTGCCCGCTAATAAGTGCCGCTGAGTGACGCCAGTGGCCTGAGTTCATGGAAATGCAGACAGCGACTCTTCCAGGGGATAAATGTGACACAAGAGGCCCTCTGTGGCAGTCATGTGACATGTGTGAGCACATAGTCTGTACTGGGACACTGGGCTCTCCATGTTGGGGAATGCGGAAGGAGGTCTATTTGTGGAAGTGCTTGTTTGTGAGATACTGTCCTGTAGGGGGCGTCACATGACCACAGGCAGAGGAATAGAATGTGGTGATTTCCCTCCTTAGTGCAGCCTTTTTTTTTATATGTCTGTGATTTTCCCCTCATTGCTATACTGCTTCTTTTGTTTGCTTATCTTTTGTTTACTTGTGTGCCACATTGACTGGAAGGCATGCCGGCTACTTCCTCCCCATGTAGGAAAATACCGTGTTGCTACCTTGTAATTTTAATAAGCCTGTCTAATGCTGTGTGTGAGACAGGGAACCCCATCCTTCTGGGACTCCAGTGTGTGTCAGACAGGGAATTCCGTCCTGCCGGGACTCCAGTGTGTGACACAGGGAGTTCCGTCCTGCCGAGACTTCAGTGCTTGACAGACAGGGAGTTCCGTCCTGCCGGGACTCCAGTGCGTGACAGACAGGGAGCCCCATCCTGCCGAGACTCCAGTGTTTGACAGACAGGGAGCTCCATCCTGCCGAGACTCTAGTGCGTGACAGACAGGGAGTTCCGTCCTGCCGGGACTCCAGTGCATGACAGACAGGGAGTTCCGTCCTGCCGAGACTCCAGTGCGTGACAGACAGGGAGCCCCATCCTGCCGAGACTCCAGTGCGTGACAGACAGGGAGTTCCGTCCTGCCGGGACTCCAGTGCGTGACAGACAGGGAGCCCCATCCTGCCTCCAGTGTAGGGCTGGGCATCATTCATAATTTTTCGATACCAGTACTAGAACGATACCTTGATTTTGATACTGGTTTCTGAACAATATTTTTTTTGATACCAATATGTTTTTAAATTAATTTCAACAAAAATACATTAAACATTACAGCACTAATCTTTTGTTTGAACAAGTACTTTTTTTAGTTATTGGTTAGTTACTGGGGGGATCGATTGCATTTATTGGAGGACACAGCCTTTTATTTATATTTTACCAGAGCTCTCAAGTTTCATCCAAAGTTTGCAGTGAGATTACATCTGTTAGGGGCGCAGCGTGTGTCTCACGGTCAATGTGAGACACTTTACAGCCCTGCTTACCACATTCATCGGATCTTGCTCTGCCACTCCCACCTTGTGTGCACTCCGTATGTGCGCACATCCATGTAATAACGTGCTTGCAGTGGGATCATATGTAACTTATTTTGGAATTTACCCGGAAACAACAAATGCTATTTTCTGATTGGCTGGTAGGTGGCTATTAACTGTATAACTTGGGACAGTTAGAGCATAAGAACATAAGAATGAACTCCTATGAAGTTATGAACTCGGTGGAGAACTTCACCCCGCCTCGTCCATTAATTCTATATAACAGGAAACCTTGGCGAGCATGAGAAAGCAAGGTACAGTATGGCGTGGGAGCATGTGAACTGGTTGCAATGTTTGTGTCACGGTCAATGCGTGAGACTTGAGAGCCCCAATTTTACTTATATGACCTGTGACATGCTTATAATTAATAAGTAAATCTGGCCGGCAGATCAATATTTCATTTTCCACAGAATAAAAAACGATGTTATCCTGCTAATAATTGCTGGCACCTTTCTGATGATTTCGCTCACAGATATATGCGTACACATACTCAACAATTCTCACTCTCTCCAGGTGTTTCACGTGATATACGAGTGTGGTCAGCCACTAAATGGGGACATATTTGCAAGTCGCACTGGTGTGCCTAGTTTAAAAATTTTGTCACACAGTCTCCAAAAATGGTCACACAATGAGACTCAATGGTTGCAGTCTGAAACCCTGTGGTGCTATACTTTTGATTTCTTAGGCATTTTTTATGCTACGTGACAAACAAAAGTGACAACACGCACGCGAGCCAATTCACAAGTTTGTCCCTGGGAATATGTGTTTGTGTAACATTACATTAGCCAATCACCAGCAACTTCAGATCTTTACACAAGTATGCCTAATGCTTATTAGCTCACAGGCACTGAGATTTACTGTTTCGGTATTGGAATTTGGCACAGAAAATTAATTTTTCGATCCTTGATAGGATTGGAGCGTTTCGGTCAGTACCACAAAAGTACCGAAGTTCAGTATGCAGCCCTTCTCTAGTGTGTGACAGACAGGGAGCCCTGTCCTGGATGTATGTGTGTGTGTCTCTGTCTATGTGTGTGTCTCTTTGTGTAGAGCTGGACCAAAATGTTATTACGATAATCATCGATAATATCGACTGATGAAAATTTTTATCACAGTGTTATGTCATCATTATTTCTAAGTTGGAGAAACTAGATTGTTAATTGTAGTTATAAACTTTTTTGTCAGAACATGACAAACACGCCAAATGGTAGTGATGACCATACTGGAACTTCTGGAACCTTTACTGACCTCACTAGATGGAGCGCTCTGTTCAAAAAAGGGCTCAAAGCTCGCCCAGAAGGAAACCATAAGTGCCATGTGGGCTCAAAAAATATTGCGAATAGTTCATGAAGCGTTGTTTTGGCCATTACCACCAAACAGCATTTTGCAAGTCTGAGATAGAAAATGACCAGGTTATTTTAGTCACTGCTGAAAAAATGCAGCCACTGGCATTCTTCCTATCTGTTCTTAATTCTCTGTGGATTATTACTGTTGGGATTTGTCATGGACTGAATTTTACTGTGGACGTTCCTTCCGGATCTTACCTGATTACCCTTACTGAATGAGTCGCTTTAGACTTACCTGGTCTGCTGGTGAGATGCCCTGTTGTTTTGACAGTTTTGTCTGTTGTCTACCTACCTGCCATGTTGCATTGTCTTATTTGTTCAATCAATCCCTTGTTTCATGGCTGTGTTTGTGCTTTTGCTCCATTCCAGTCCTGAGAAGTAGTTACGGAGAAAATGTTTGTTGCAAAGGGAGTTACTGGCATTATAGAGTATTTGTCATATGGATATCAGGGAAAATTATATTGTGATAATTATCATAAAACTAATTATTTATATATATATCGCCCAGCCCTGTGTGTGTGCAAGATCAGTCACCTGTCATGTTCTCTCACACACACCTTAGACGTAACACTGTTGGGGTCCATAGCTGTGGAGTTTTGCATCTGCTGTCATGTGACTCTTCAGCACTAATGTTGCACGGTGTGACCATTGACTCCAGCTACACTGTGGTGTTTTTGTTCCTGTCTGTCTCTCCATCCTGCTGCCACTAACCTGCTCCTGCTACCATGCTGTGCCGTGCACCGACGCGTGGCCTGGGAACATGCACTCTAACGCTGAAGGCATCGGTAAACTGTCCACTGCGGACGGTAAAGCCTTCGCAGATCCTGAGGTGCTGCGTCGCCTGACGTCATCGGTGAGCTGCGCGCTGGACGAGGCCGCCGCCGCCCTCACGCGCATGAGGGCTGAGAACACGCTGCACCCCGGCCAGGCTGACAAGTATGGATCTCTTCTGCCTCTGAACAAACACCTCATTTACCTGTTAGTTTTGTTTTGTCTCTGATCTGATGTTACTGTAAGCTGCCGTGATCTTGAAAGCCTTAAGCCCCAGATTGGGCAATGTAAAGTGACCCCAGCCCCCATAACCTCAATGCTCTTCCTCAGTCAGACACGGCATAGCGTGCGGCTCAATGACTGAAGCAGCCCCTGTTAGCACCTGGGGCTAGCAGCTAGCTGATCTCATGTCCCCCTGCCCCATGCAGTGCTGGTAATTGTAGCAGTCTGGTTATTTTTAGCCGTAGCTTGGCGGAGGCCTGCTCTGACGGGGATGTCAATGCCGTGCGGAAGCTGTTGGATGAGGGCCGTAGCGTCAATGAGCACACGGAGGAGGGCGAGAGCTTGCTGTGTCTGGCCTGCTCCGCGGGCTACTATGAGCTGGCGCAGGTGAGGGGGGCCGGGCCGTTGCTTCTGCAGAACGCCGCGTCTCAGCTAGGCTCTGACGGCACGCTTGTCTCTGGCCCACAGGTCCTGCTGGCCATGCACGCCAATGTGGAGGACCGTGGCATCAAGGGAGATATAACTCCACTGATGGCAGCTGCCAGCGGCGGCTATGTGGACATCGTGAAGCTGCTGCTTGTGCACGGGGCTGATGTCAATGCACAGTCATCTACTGGTGAGTGGGGCAGCCTGCACAAGCTCTGCATGAATGGTGAGCGACCACCCACCCCACCTGTCCAGCGTGGTAACGCCTCCTCTCTGCCCCCTCACTACAGGTAACACGGCGCTGACTTATGCGTGCGCCGGTGGCTTCGTTGATGTGGTGAAGGTGCTCCTGAAGGAAGGTGCCAACATTGAGGACCATAACGAGAATGGGCACACACCGCTGATGGAGGCAGCCAGTGCCGGCCACGTGGAGGTGGCCCGTGTGTTACTTGAGTACGGCGCTGGCATCAACACGCACTCCAACGAGTTCAAGGAGAGCGCGCTTACCCTGGCCTGTTATAAAGGTGCGCCCGCTGCCCGCCACTGCTGAAGGGAGCTCAGCACAGCCATCGTAACGCTCTTACATCATTGCCCTTCCACTTCCTGTTACAGGGCACTTAGACATGGTGCGCTTTTTACTGGATGCCGGCGCCGACCAGGAGCACAAGACGGACGAGATGCACACAGCTCTGATGGAGGCCTGCATGGTGAGGCTCCGCCAGGGGGTGCTCGCCCTGCAACCAGCCGCCCTGCCCGTCAATCCACTGCACAAACGAGCTGCCTGCGCAGATGCGAGTTAACCCATAGATGGGGAATGAAAAGAGAATATGTTTTGGTCCCCCGGGGTGGCACGCAGGTGCTTACCTCCCCCTCTCGACCCCCTGTCCCAGGATGGGCACGTGGAGGTGGCACGGCTGCTCCTGGACAGCGGGGCACAGGTGAACATGCCGGCGGACTCATTTGAGTCACCATTGACACTGGCGGCCTGCGGGGGCCACGTGGAACTGGCCGCCCTGCTCATCGAGCGCGGGGCGAACCTGGAGGAGGTCAACGATGAGGGCTACACTCCGCTGATGGAGGCAGCCCGCGAGGGCCACGAGGAGATGGTGGCGCTACTGTTGGCGCAGGGTGAGGCCCCCCGCCCCCTCTGCTCATGCCAATGGCGATGGAAAGCTAGACACCAAAAAACTGGTGGGCAGGGAAATCCTGTGCTGTCAGTCGGTGCGATCACCCAATCAATTGCTGGCAACAGATGCCTGCCCACCTGACACAGAACACATGAGCCTGGTGTGCAGGTGACCTGTGTAAAGTGAGCTGTCCTCCCTGCTGCTGTGCTCCCCTGCCAGGTGCCAACATCAACGCCCAGACGGAGGAGACGCAGGAGACGGCGCTGACGCTGGCCTGTTGCGGGGGCTTCCTGGAGGTGGCCGACTTCCTCATCAAGGCCGGCGCTGATATCGAGCTTGGCTGCTCCACGCCGCTCATGGAGGCCGCACAGGAGGGCCACCTGGAGCTCGTCAAGTACCTCCTGGCTGCTGGTAAGGCCCCTGTCCTGCAGACGCATGCCAGCCTTGCTGCTGCCCTGCTGAGGTTACACATTTGCCCCGCCTCTTTCCTCAGGTGCGAATTACCATGCCACGACAGCCACGGGGGACACGGCGCTGACATATGCCTGTGAGAATGGCCACACGGATGTGGCCGATGTGCTGCTGCAGGCCGGGGCTGACCTGGTGAGTATCCCCCTGCCCCCCCCCCCACTGCTCCCGACTGGCAGGGAGCCCCTGACCCCTGCGTCTGTCCTAGGAACACGAGTCAGAGGGAGGCAGGACCCCCCTGATGAAGGCTGCCAGAGCGGGCCACCTCTGCACTGTGCAGTTTCTCATCAGCAAAGGTGAGTGTGCTGCCCCCAGAAGCCCCACAGTGCTTCCCGCCTCTGCTGCCACCCATTGAGGATGTCCTCCTGCCCCACAGGTGCTAACGTGAACCGAGCCACGGGCAACAATGATCACACGGTGGTGTCGCTGGCCTGCGCGGGGGGCCACCTGGCCGTCGTCGAGCTGCTCCTGGCCCACGGGGCCGACCCCACACACAGACTGAAGGTGCGCCCCCCCCCCCCCGTTGTCACTCCCCTCTGCCTAAATGCCTAAATGCCATGCCAGGGCTCTGTGGGCACCGGGGGTGTGACCGCAGCTGTCTCTTACAGGATGGCTCCACCATGCTCATCGAAGCTGCTAAGGGTGGCCACACCAACGTGGTGTCCTACCTGCTGGACTACCCAAACAACATCCTCTCTGTCCCCACGCCTGACCTCTCCCAGCTCACCCCCCCCTCTCACGACACCTCTCAGGTGAGACCTTCACCACACCCCAGCTTCAGTGACCAGGATGACCTCCCTGTGACTTTCTTGTCCTCACCTTCCCACGCAGGTGCCCCGTGTCCCGTTCCAAGCCCTGCCCATGGTGGTTCCCCCCCAGGAACCAGACAGGGTGCCCTCCAACATCGTGACCCCCCCCCTTGTCTTGAGCAAAGGTGAGTGAGTTCTTTTGCCAGTCTGCAGGTCCAGACAGCAGCCCTGTTAGCTACGCGGGGAGATTCCTTGCTTGGTCTGTCACCGGTGTTAAGATGCTGGGTGAACTTCTGATTGATGTCTTTCTCTTGAACTCAGCAGAGAGTTTTTGTGGCTCTGTCGTGAAGATTTTAAGAGAAGACCCTTACATTTAGCTTGTGGGACATCACTAAAATGAGTGTTTAACAAACAGTTGTCTTCACGGATATTTTAAAGGTGATTTAATATATGCTCGTGAAGAAGTTTGTGAACCATTTGGAATTTTCTGGATTAATTTAAGAATGATTCCTGACTTGGACTGACTCTAAAAAAGCCTTACAAAGAAATATTCAACCTTGGTATATCCTTGTTGGAAAAACAAGGTCATTGATGGATGAAGCTTGTGAGCCTGTAGGACATGCATGGTCAACTCTTCAGCTATGCCGTAGCATTTATTAACAGCGACGATGGGGCTAGTCCGAATTGTTAAGCGATTATCCACTCTGGTATTGGCCCAGCATGTGCAAGTATATGTCATTGTACTGCACCCATTTTTAATTGTGTTTATTCTGTAATTTTATGGGACTACACTAGATTTTGTTTACAGTTCCCAATAAAATATAAGATGCTAATTATATTTGCCATTTTTAATTTATTGAAATGTAAAGGATTGTGTGAAATGTCGTCATTTCGACTACTATCCCCAGTATCGAACTGAATCGTATCGTATCGTGGGAATTTGTGAGGTATCAAAAAAAATTGAACCGTTGGCTTAAGGAATCGATATTGTATCGTATCACGAGGAAAGCTGTGATTTACACCCCTAATGTTTACACCTGAAATTGAATTTAAAAACTTGAACTTGAATACCTTTACCTGAACTTGAATTTTTAAAATTGAATTTTAATTTATTTCTGAACTTGAAGTTATGTTGCTTTTTAAGATGTTCTTGTGTGTTTTTAACAAGTTAATCATGTAAACGCAGTAATCAGGTTATTAACACATGTACACACCTTAATTGGTATCGCATCTAAATGCAGTCATAGTTTGTGAACTGGGAATCTGCATGTCCCTCATCTCTGTTGTATGGTCCATAGAGCTGGGTGATATGGACCAAAAACATTATAGTTATTTTTTGGCAGATTAGTGATACACAGTATCTTCCATGAAGCGTGATTTAAATCAAAACCACACAGTTTTATTAAAACAATATGTAGCCAAAGAAAATGCAAATACAAAGCTTCTTTCCCTGTTTGCACATACAGTGGTACCTCACTACTCAAACTCATTAGAACTCGAACTTCTTAAAAGCCGAACCAACCAGTTGGAAAAGAAATTACTTACAACTCGATCTGAATCTCAGAAGTTGAACCGTGAACGCCGACCTAAGATAACTTGTACGCGTGGGGAAATGTGTCAGGAAGCACGTCTCTCAGCGGAAACAATGGGTAACGCTTCAGTCTCAGCCTCACATTCGCTGTGATAGCATCATGCATGTTTACACTAGCTGAATACATATATTTAGCCAGTAAAATACATTTAGACAATGAGACAGTAACTGTAATTATTATTATATAGTAAAACATGTAAAAATAAAGATTTCTTATTAATTATTTTAATATCATAAATAATAAACCATTAATACATTTAATTAAAATAATATTGTCGTGCCGAGCGGGGACGGAACGGAGACAAAGGCGCAGATGTCAGGGTATCGGGGAATACGGGGTTTAATTACAGGTAAGGCAGGCAAAACGCAGACAGACAATACAATGACCGGACTGGGGAAACAAACTGAAACGCGGACTAAATACAGAGGGCTAATGACAACAACCAGAAACAGCTGATCACACGGGGGGATTCCACACGGGGTTAAGGAGGGGGTGTGGCACACGGAAGGAGCAGACGATCGGGGCAGGACACATTTTTTAATTTTTTAACTTTACACATTGCTTGGATACATTTATTTTCTTACTTTGCAAATTACCGTTTTGATAAATGTACTTAGTTGTGTTTAGTACAGTATATGCTCTTTTTTCCTGTTTTATCCTGTTCATTTTGTTTTTAAATGCTTAAAAAAAAACATATTTAGGTGTAATTTTTTGGGGCCGGGAACCAATTAATTTGTTTTCCATTATTTCTTATGGGGAAAATTTGATCAGAACTCAAACTTTTTAGGATTCGAATCCGAGTTCTGAACGGATTAAGTTTGAGTTCTGAGGTACCTTGGAACTCTCGCGTTTGCATACAACCTGGAAGGATTTTTATTGGTCACTATTCAATATATTTCATAGAGTCCCAGTTTTAGTGCACAATAAAAGTATATAAACAAATATTGTGTCATCCATTATCCCGTTTTGAAAATATATTGATATATTGTAAACATTTAATATACCACCCAGCCCTAATGGTTTGTCTGGTTTAATAGTCCCCTGGAAACTTCCGTTTGTGGATTTGCAGGTTTTTTTGTTTTGCATGTGTCTATTAGATTTTGTAAGTGTTTTCTGAATTTGCAGCATGTTATCAGGCATGGTATTAAGATAGTGGATGTACAAAACCCCATCCCAAATGACCTGTCTTATTTGTCAGGATTATTCTCGATTAGATCTGTACTCTTTTGTTCTTTCTGAGTGTTCTCCTTGTTTTTCTGAACCTGAATTTCTCAAAATGAATTTTCTTAGAAATGGAATTAAAATTTTTATTACCACAAAAGCAACATTAATTCAACTTCTGGAAATAAATTTGAATTTGATTTCTTTAATTCAAATTCAGGCAAATGTATTCAAGTTGGGGTTCTTTAATTCAAGTTCAGGTTAGCATTCAAATTTGGGTAAATACATTCAAATTCATGTTGTGGTGGGTCTGATTTGATGCCATACAGGTCCACACACCTGCGTTCACACAGAAAGCCAGACAATGACAAGAGGTTCACAAACTTAAACTAGAAAATCAGCAGTGATATTTCCCCGCTTTTTAAAATGCAGGAACAGTTTACAGTTTTAAAAATTGTGGTATCTGTTAGTGTTATGGGTATATACGTGAAAATTTTATTTAGATTTGTAGGGTTTTTGTAGAAGAGACTGGGTTGCTGATTTGGAGTCACTGTGCTGCTTCGTGTTTGAGTGTTCTGGCGGTAGGTGGTTGGTTTTCGTTTAGCCCTCCCCTCGGTTCCTAACTTCCCCATTGCACTCTGGCAGAGTGGTGATGCTCTTCGCCTTTTTCCTTTTTCCTCACCCTGTGTGCTTGCCAGCCTCAAGGTGGCTTCAGAGCAGCCTTTACCGTGAATATAAAGAACACCAGCCGTGATATTTTTAAGTTGCCTTCTGGGGACCGTGAGTGATAAAGCTCAGAAGGTTAATTTTGGCTGTTCTCCGCTTACGGGACTGTGACCTGCTAGCCTATAACTCGCGGTAACCCCTTGTCCCAGAGGAGTGAGGTCATTGCATAGCCCTTAGTCCTATGTTTCAAGCTGCTTTGTGTGTTTGCTTCTCCCATGGTGTGTGTTCTGTGAGGGTATGTCGACTTTGGCCCCTGCCATCGCTGGGCAGATGAGCATTACTTTCGGGGCTGATTGGGACTGGTTAGGTCAGGCTCCCCCAAGCCAGGTGTTCCACTCTGAGGCACTTCGCCCAGGGGGAAAGTGTGCAGTCAGACTCTGTCTGCTGGTAGGGTTTCTGACCCCTCTTGTGCAGGGAAGTTCCAGATGTTGAGCGTAAGGACGAGAAATGTGCATCATTGTCTGGCAGACTGTGGGGGACCATAGATCATCGTTGCCGTTTCAATTCTGGTCTCTAAAGGTTTCCTAGCAACAGCAATAAACGGCACAGAGCCCTATCCGGTGCTCCCTGAGCTTCCGGCTCAGGCTGAACCCGTCACAGCATTGCCCTCGCCTGCCTTTTGAGGCTCGAGTGATTCTGCCCCCTGAATCCTGTCGTCCCTCAGCGGTGCCTCCTGCCAGTTCAGATTCAGGGCTGCCTTGGACTCTCGTACCCGGATCCCTGGTTCTCTTGTGATGCTGTTGCCTGGTTCATCATGGTCTGCCCTGTCACCACCCTCAACCTCGCCCATTTCTGAAACTCGCGTTTATTCTTACCGTTCACCCTCCCCACTCCCACTGGCAGTATTTCCATACCATCCCAGCCCACCCCATTTCTTTCTTCCATTTCTTTCATTTTAATTTTTTTCCCACAACTTTTTTTGGTTTCGTTTTTGTTGTGTGTTTCGTGTGCTTAGGTGTATCTAAACAAAGGCAGAGCCCCCTGCAGGTGGGCCCCGGTAGCGGGGGGCGGCCGGATGCGGATGCACTGCTCCCCTTTCACCCGTACCAGCCGCTGGAGTGCATCGTGGAGGAGACTGAGGGCAAGCTGAACGAGCTGGGCCAGCGCATCAGTGCCATTGAAAAGGCCCAGATGCAGTCACTGGAGCTCATCCAGGGCGAGCAGCTCACCAAAGACAAGATTGAGGAGTTGAAGAAGAGCCGTGAAGAGCAGGTGCAGAAGAAGAAGAAGATCCTCAAGGAGCTGCAGAAGGTGGAGCGCCAGCTGCAGCTCAAGACGCAGCAGCAACTCACCAAAGAGTACATGGAGGCCAAGGGCCTGAAGGAGGAGCCAGGCCAGGCAGTGGGCCCCCCCTGTGGCAGCATCCTCCTGCAGCCTGCGGCACCGGGCTCCGACACCGACGAAGAGGGCGCCTGCGAGCCACAAGCCAGCCAGCAGTCGCCCACGGAGGAGGACGAGGAAGACGAGGACGGCTATGCAAAGCTGCCGCAGGTGGACACCTTACTGTGCAGGGATGCGCAGGCCCTGTCGCAGGTGGACACCTTACTGTGCAGGGACGCGCAGGCCCTGTCGCAGGTGGACACCTTACTGTGCAGGGACGCGCAGGCCCTGTCGCAGGTGCAGCAGGCACATGCCCCCCACCTTCCCCCACTTCAGGCTGCTTTCATGCCCATCCAGCCGCTTCCCGCTCAGCAGTCCACTGACTTCAACGCCAGCGACTACCACAGCAGCGCCAGCCCCGACCTGCAAAGGGTGCTGTTGAGTCAGCAGGTGCCAGGCCAGCCGCTGTCTGGCTTGGGTCACGGCCTCCTCACCCAGGTGCCCGACGGCCTCATGGTGGCCACGCCCGCACAGACGCTTACTGACACACTGGATGGCATAATGGCAGGTGCGTTAACCAAACAGCTTTTTTTTCTTTGTTTTTTCTCTTCCTACTTTAAGTCTTTCTGCTTCTTGCTGGCAGTCATGCCCCCCACCCCCTTTTTCCATAATCGAGCAGTGTCGGTGTCCCTTGACATGCCTGATTTTCTGGCTGTTTTTCGTGGGGTTGGGTGGGAGGGTCACACCGCCTCAGCCCTCTCCCTCCCTGGGTACCAGCTCAGGCCTGTATATGCTCCCTCCCCCCCCCAGGCCATAAGAATCTGGCTCAGTTTTAATGGTGTTTGATACGGAGTCCCTGTATGGGATGGTAAGAGAAACACGTGCACCTGTACTGCCCTGCGTGTCGTATCTGTAAAAGTCGCACATCACAGTCCGTTATGTTTCCAAACTCCATACGGGGCCCTGGGTGGATGGTTACCCTGGACGCTGCTTTGTCCTCTGACATATGGACCGTCTGTCTCAGTGCTGCAGATAGTGCTCTCCTCTTGTCGTGCTGAGGGAGACACTTAAGGCCTGGCTGACGGTAGCGTCCTGTCAGCCCTAAGGTCCCATCTGGGCACCAGTTGGTACACTGCTGTCGGAGAAACCTTGTCACTTCTCTAAATGTTGGGTTTGTGTGTCTGTTTGCTGGCCTGCCATTATTTTTTGGGGTACCACCCTTTAGGGCTGTGTGGGCAGTGTCCGTGTGTCACTTGTAATGGGGCTGTGGGACAGAGATCCCCCTCCCCCCCCGTCGTTAGGTTGATTTGGCTCACTGTGTCCGCTGGTCATGTCCTTTAACCCTCATTTTCTGTCTTACTGTGATAGCTGTGAGCAGCAGAGTGCCTATGCTGAGCACTGCCACCTCGCCTACGCCCCAGCCCCCGCCCCCCACGCAGGCACCCAGTGGCTCCGTGTCTCCACCATCTATGCTGCCCATCTACCCGTCCGTGGACATCGACGCACACGTAAGCCCTCGTTTGTGTGCCCGTGTCCGTCTTCCTGCAGCTGCGTGCCGGTACCGTGAGATCTGTGACTGCGCCTCTGTCCGCAGACGGAGAGCAATCACGACACGGCGCTGACCCTGGCATGTGCTGGGGGCCACGAAGAGCTGGTGTCAGTGCTGATTGCACGTGGGGCCAACATCGAGCATCGGGACAAGAAGGGTAGGGGCTGCCACAAGAGGGCAGATCAGGGTACAGGGTAGTCATTTGCCATCAGGGGGAGCACGTCAGTTTGACTGCCTTTCTTACCCACAGGCTTCACCCCCTTGATCCTGGCTGCCACAGCTGGGCACGTGGGTGTCGTGGAAGTCCTGCTCGATAAAGGGGGAGACATTGAGGCCCAGTCGGAGAGAACCAAAGACACTCCGCTTTCCCTGGCTTGCTCTGGGGGCCGGCAGGAGGTGGGTGTTTCTCGCCTCCAAGCGCAGCACGCTGTAGTGCTGGTGGGGTGCATGTGGCCAGTGGGGACCCCAGAAGGCCTTCGTAACCCTTCTACCCTTGTATCCCAGGTGGTGGAACTGCTGCTGCTGCGTGGGGCCAATAAGGAGCACCGCAACGTTTCGGACTACACCCCCCTGAGCCTGGCTGCCTCTGGGGGCTACGTCAACATCATCAAGATCCTCCTCAACGCTGGCGCCGAGATCAACTCCAGGTGGCCCCTTCCCCCCTGCTAGTTACTGCACTACATCTGTTCCCCTCTCTCATGTGGGGAAGGCTCTGTGCTTATGTTTAGCTCTGGGTTTTGAGAGAATCCAGAGCCCTCAATTACTGAATTGCAAATATTTATTTTAGTTTTTAAAAATGGATCTAAATTTCTCTTCACAGAATATTCAAAGAATTTGGCTGTTTTAGTTACAGAATTCCAGGTGAATTGAGGGCGAGGTGCAGGTGGCAATGTGAAGGCCTGGTTTTCTTGCCCATAAAAATTTGATCATGTGCTTGTCTGGTTTTGTCCCACCTCGTCTGCATTTCCTGGCCTTCAGCACCGCTGCTGCTTCCATCTCACCTCTGATGTCCATTTTGATCTCTGCAGGACTGGTAGCAAGCTGGGGATCTCCCCGCTGATGCTGGCGGCCATGAATGGCCATGTTCCTGCGGTCAAGCTGCTGCTGGACATGGGCTCAGACATCAACGCGCAAATTGAGACCAACCGCAACACGGCATTGACTCTGGCCTGCTTCCAGGGCCGGGCCGAGGTGGTCAGCCTGCTGCTGGATCGCAAGGCCAACGTGGAGCACCGTGCCAAGGTCGGTCGCAGGGCCTGGCATGGCCGGCTCCAGACTTGGGAATTAGGGGGATTAAGGTTTTATGTTCTCATTCGTTTGCCTACCAGCCTTACCCGAGGACGCAGGAATTATTCTGCCATTAGTGGCTTGTGACCTGAGCCGGTCTGTCCCCCCCCCCAGACTGGGCTGACGCCGCTGATGGAGGCTGCTTCCGGAGGCTATGCCGAGGTGGGCCGCGTGCTGCTCGATAAAGGGGCCGATGTCAACGCGCCCCCTGTCCCCTCTTCTCGGGACACTGCCCTCACCATCGCTGCTGACAAGGGTCACTACAAATTTTGTGAGCTCCTCATTAACAGGTAAATGTTGCAGGTCAGTTGTCTGCCCGTAATGGTGTCTTGTTTGCTGATGCCAGCGAAAATCCCATATACTTCTTAATCAGCCATCAGCTACTCCTCCATTACCTTCTCTCCTCCGTGTGGCTTGAGAGCGCTACAACCTTTCTCCACAGAGGGGCCCACATTGATGTGCGAAACAAGAAGGGGAACACACCTCTGTGGCTGGCAGCGAATGGCGGCCATTTTGACGTGGTGCAGCTCCTGGTGCAGGCGGGTGCCGATGTGGACGCTGCCGACAACCGCAAGATCACGCCGCTGATGGCTGCATTCCGCAAGGTAGGCTGCAATCCTACCCCTGCTGCTTTGGGTGAGAGGCACAGATGGCTCGGCTTGGGGTCTGTATGGATCTCACAGGATGTAATCTACAGGCTTGGGTTAAGTCCTTGGCCTACATGTTCCTCCCAGAGATGAGGACTTGAGTTTGCGAATCGGACTTATGACTCAACTTGCAACTTGTTATTGTTGATAGACTTGTAAACAATGAGTCTTTGAGGTTTTGTTGAAATTTCTGCACATGTGAAGCATTGAGTGTACAACTGTCCCCCAACGGTAACGGCTTTAAACACATCAGGATGTGTGGCTGTGCACAGAGCATAGGAACTGGAGCCAGAGAAGCGAGACGCCAGGCGATATGAAAAAAACAAACATGTTTTGCCACTAGTACAAATTGCGGACCCGATCTGACAAAGTGCAGGATATTCTGAATGTTTTATTTTACATTAGATTGCACCGCTTAGAAATGGGCATTGCTCAACCAGTGTCTAAAATTGTATATAGATTGTGTGATACAATTACACAGACCGGCAGAGATTGGCATAAATCTGATAATTTAGTAGATATGACTCAAAAACACCTTTTCATTTCTGACATAGCCTTCCAACTCAAGCTGTATTTTCTTACAACTTAAAAACTACCTGCACCTTATAATTGTGCCCCACTTGTAGTGATATGTCTTAAATAATTTGGATTAATGTCACACATTCAAATTGAACGATTTTTAATAAAATAAAAACATAACGCCAGCAAATAATTCAATTGAATAGTAATATCACTGACCGCTCTCCCATAACTAAAACAGCAGCAGGACTGCTCACATTATTTTAACTTAACATGGAGCTTGCGGTGTTACTTGCATAATCATTTATTTACTTGCGCACATACATGCGCTGAGAGACAAGTCAATTTTATCCATTAATTGGAGTTTTTGCTTTAGAATGATGTGTAACAATGAAAATCGTGATTTACTTTAACATGCATTTACTTTAGCAGCACGACAAACGGGATTTGGGTTATACTCATTCGTAGGACTGGACGATATGGCAAAAATTTATATCACGATGTATTTCTTAATTTTGGTCGATACGATATAATTCCGATATCGATATGGACAATATTAAAAAGCCACAGGAAAAAACTGACGAGGACACACACAATGGATGTCTGCAAACTGAATTTGCAAAGTCTATAATACCTCCAGGCTCCTCCTATTAAAATTATATATATATATTTTTTTTTAATAAAAACAGTACAAAAAAAAATAAGGTTCACTTTTTATTTGTATTTAGCCTTTACAAACAAGAAATGTGAAATAAACTATCAAATAAATAAAACTCTCAGACTCAGCTTATTAACAATAATATATTTCCATTTAAACTAAAACAGGGTGATTATTCATATACTGTATATTATGATACAGTATATATGTATATCGAAATATCGGAAATGTGTTTAAAAATCGTATCACCGTTATTGAAAAAAATTATATCGCGATATAAGAACATAAGAACATAAGAAATTTACAAACGAGAGGAGGCCATTCGGCCCATCAAGCTCGTTTGGGGAGAACTTAGCTAATATCTCAGAGTTG